CTTCCAGCTGCCTGAACCACTGAGTGACAGCGAGAGTTGAAGCAGAGCTTTAACGGCCTGATGACAAATCTCGTCACCATGGCCTGCCTTTTCTGAGTCCACATCTGCTTACACAGAACTTGCTGCTCCTATTATCCTCCCTCCATCTCTGATTCAAACTGCTTATTTGTCAGTCCAGAGGCCCTGAACCCACTCATGTCAGCAGATAATGTGGTGGCAATAATCTCCTTCCAAATGCGGTGTTTACATACTATGTGTCCACCTACTGTTATCAGCTTTCGGTTCCATAAAAATAAATTAAAAATGAAATTGAGTCCACTTCCTGGTGCCCTTTGACATTTTAAATACACTTTCACTATATCCAGTGGTGGACAGTAACTGGGAAGTAGCAAAGTACATTAACTCAAGCACCACATAGAGATTCAGGAACTTGCACTTTACCTGACAATTTCCATTTTTCTGTTGCGCTCAGATAAAACTGTTAATGTTTTGCAGGCAGTTCTCTATAGCGTTGACAAAATCACACTGATAATTCACAGACTGCTGGGCCTCAGTTTGTGTTTGTCAGGTGAAATAATGAAGAAACTATTTGTCTCATGATGTTTTAGTGGATCTGATTTAGTGCACAGGTGATACTGATAACACTGAGGGTTTATTTGTTGATATTTACTAAAAGATACCATTTTAGTGAAGGCAAAACAGCTGAAAGTGTTGGAGAAGAGTCATGTGATGTGTGATGTGTTTAATTTTGATGAACTTGCATTGAAGCTCCCACTGTTCTCAAACATATCACAATGCTGTGATTTTCTTTTAGAAAAATATAGCACATAGATCAAAACGCAGGAAGGATGGTACTCCTTCCTCTTTGTCAGAACTCTGAAGCATTTGCTTGTGTGATAATAAAATACATCATTAACTCTCACTGCAGAAGGTTGGGAAAAATTTGATCTAAAACTTAAGAGTCCCATATTTCACACTTTCCTGGTGTTTTATTTAAATTTTTGATATCCATTAGAAGTTATATTTATGGTCTTTAGTGCCAAAAACCATCTCAGTGTAGTTTTAGATATCCTCTTCTTCTACAACAGGTTCTCTCTCCCACTGCTTCAGCTGCAGCTTCTCCTACGGCATCTCCCTCACAACCTGACACTGCAGCTCAGACTCCCTCCACACTGGGGTCAAGTCTCCTGTCCTGGAAAAGCAGCAGGCCCGGATGGTGTGTGGGAGGCTGTTAAAGGACTGTGCAGCCCAGCTAGCTGAGCCTCTTCAGAGGATCTTTAATGTAAGCCTACAAACAGGGAGGGTCCCGGTCCTGTGGAAAACATAATGTCTTGTTCCAGTACCTAAAGTAGGACGACCGGCTGAGATAAATGACAACAGACCGATGGCCCTCACATCACATCTCATTGCCACAGGTTGAACATGCACTAGACCCCCGATAGTTCACCTACAAAGAACATATTGCAGTGGATGATGCCGTCCTTACTTGGATGAGCCAGGTGGTTACATGAAGATTATGTTCTTTGATTTTTCAAGTGCATTTAACACCATTCAATCCCCCATTCTTAAAGACAAGCTGGAAGGGATGGGGGTATTTACCTGACAAGACAACCACAGTACGTCAGGCTGGGTAACTGTTTCTCAGGGACAGTGATGAGCAGCACTGGGGCTCCACAGGGAACTGTTCTGGCTTTGTTCCTGTTCACCCTGTGTACAGTGGACTTTAAATACAACTCTGAGTCCTGCCACATCCAGAAATACTCGGATGACACAGCTATTGTGGTGCGTATCAGGAACAGGCAGCAAGAGGAGTACAGGGATCTGATGATGGCCTTCGGTTAATGGAGCAACAAGAACTGCCTCCTTCTGAACACTTCCAAGACCAAGGAGATGGTCATGGACTTTCTGAGGTCTAGGCCCACCCTTCAGCCAGTCAACATTCAAGGGAAGGACATTGAGGTGGTGCACACTTATAAATACCTAGGTGTGCACCTGGACAGTAAACTGGACTGGTCCCTGAACTCGAATGCCATCTACCTGAAGGGGCAGAGCCGGCTCTATTTCCTCAGGAGGCTCAGGTCCTTTGACGTCTGCAGTGAAATGCTGCACGTTTTATCAGTCAGTGGTGGCCAGTGTACTTCTTTATGCTGCAGTCTGACATGAACACAAGGAGACTGGACAAGCTGGTAAAAAAATGCTGGGTCTGTGCTTGGCAGGAGTCTGGACTCACTCAGGACTGTTGTGGAGAGACGCATGCAATGTAAGATGGAAGCCATCTTGGAAAATACCAACCATCCTCTCCACAACATTCTGGCAGGACAGAGAAGCAGCTACAGCTGCAGCAAACGTCTCATTGCACTGCGCTGCAGAACAGAGAGGTTCAGGAGATCCTTTGTTCCCACTGCCATCAGGCTGTAGAACACCTCAGCCAAAGGAAGTGGACTCATCTAATTATTATTGTTTATTTATTGTCAACTGTTATTATTATTATCAACAATGATCTAATGGACAAGTGAAATTCCCCTATCTATCTATCTATCTATCTATCTATCATCTATCTATCTATCTATCTATCTATCTATCTATCTATCTATCTATCTATCTATCTATCTATCTATCTATCTATCTTCTCCCTAGAGCTCTAGCAGCAACAGGTCGGTCAGCCAATCAGAAGAAAGGAGGCTCTGAGCCTCTGGGGGTGGTGACTGTTTTATTGTGACATCATAAAGTTACAGAAGTTCTGACTTCTCGTTTTTAAGGCAGTTTCTGAATACAGGCTGTGTGCATTTTTCCACGGATTGCACACCTTGATACTTTCACAGTATTAATATAGAACCTACACCTTCTTTATAATAAAAAAAGACATGGACATCTTACTTTCTACAATATAGGACCTTTAAGGCTGCTTGGCTCACTGTTGTGTGAAAGATGGCAACAACAGAAATATCTTCACTAGCGCACACAAACACACAATAATGTTGATGCTGCTGTGGCACTTATACTCACTGTTAACATATGCAGACAGAAACTTTATACAGACACATACTGTATGCCATCATGTGTTTGCAGGGGTATCTCTGTGTGATGTTGGTCATGGTCACAAATTGAGTTAAACTTTGCACACCAGTGTGAAATCTAGTGGAATGCCGTCTTTCAAAGGTCACTATGTCTGTAGACGTGTGACTTTGCACAACGACAGAACTTTCAAGCTGTTCTGGCATTAAGTGTTTTAAAATCTCCACAGTAGCAGAACGCTTTGCTCCTTAAGTCTGACCCGTTTCTGTTTCATCACAAAATAAAAGATTATCAAGCTTAGAGAGTTTCAAGCCTTGCACTACCAAACTTTCGACAGAAAAGTTAAAATACACAACCTGGGTTGTGAATGTGTGCAACTGTGTGTACATGTGTATTTGTATGTAGAAGGTTAGTGTATAACTTTGTCTACCTGCCTTTCTGTGTGTGTGTGTGTGTGTGTCAGTTAATGTTCTCTCACACTACTGCTATTCTTCTCTTCCTCCCCTCTCCTGCCTCATCTCCCTCTCTGTCTAATGACACGGTAGAAGCAGAGCTCATCTCATTTATTCCGCAAATTGAGGTGCTCCATGTAGTCTTTACCAGAAATATTGCACCTTTGATTGTAAAGTTAATTTACCAAGGAACTCATGAGGTCAAAACACAGAAGCATTAACTGTTGCTTTAAATTGGAGCTAAGACCATTAGGAAATGTATTATCCAAGTGCAGAGAAATGGGGCTATCACAAAAAGTTAGACACTTTTTCTCATTCACAAATGTTGACAAATGCAAATGAAAAATCTGCTGTAGTTAAAAAAGTTATGCATTTTGTAAAACACTAATTAGTGCAAAAAGGAACATCTGACATGCAATTAAGCTCTGTCATTTTAATTTGCTGATATATTTCATGAAGTTATGAAATTATCTTCTACTGTCGTGTGCCTCAAATCAGCAACAAGTGGCGACAGATTATAGAGACAATAGACCAGGACCCTTCAGTCCTTCATCAGCTTCCATGTATACAGCCCCTTCATAATTCATGTCATGACAACATTCTGTATACCCAGTTCTCCCCTGTTGATTTTGTCTACATTGGGGTAAACATTGCACCAGAGCAGATGCAGCCTCTCCTCAGTATAACACAGATGGTTTATTACAGTAATTGAGCCTAAATTCTCCTCTGCTGGAGTTGGCCATTTTTCAATTACCAGTGTTAATGGGAATATAAAGTGCACAACACTTTGCTCTCAGGCCTGTTGCTGTCGGACATCCATAGGCAATTCTTGACAGAAGCCAAACACTCTCCCTTACATGACAAGACTTTTCACTGATGACACACAAACAGTCTCCATAGAGATACAGACGCAGCATTGGCATACACCTCCACAGATCACAGATGTATGGAGACTGCCGGAAGAGATACAGCGACATATTGCTGAATGTCGTCCTTAGCTATCAACAGAGTAGAAAAATTAATCATCCTGGTACTTAAAAAGCTAGAGTCAGTCTCTCCAAAGAGAGGATAAATATGTTAACATAATTTTTCACTAGGTGACATTTGAAAAGCAAAAGATATACACAGAACTACATCAGTCATGGTAACACTCATGTATCTCCTACAACTCCACCTCTCTTCTTTACAACCAATTGAAAATTCCTATGTTGCTATGGTTTATTAGTTTTTTGTCATTTTTATTAGATCTTTTTTTTTTTTTTTTTATAGGAAACACAAACATATAGGCACCTATTCATGACTACAGTACCAGTGATTCAGCAGTCACTACTCTATTTCCTATGTGATGTATGAGGATCAAAATTGTATATCAATATAAAGTTTCTTATTTGTTACAATTACTTTTATTATTAGTATATTATTAATTTTTTTTAAAAGGACAAAGAAGGCGATTTAATGAAAGCAGAAATCATCACAGAGATAAACATGTCATCTGTGGGGTGCTAAGACCACGAAGACCAGCAGGAGGCTACAGATAGCAGTATGCTAGCAGAAGCTAGTGTTGTCACAGGGATTCATGAACTACATTTACGACATAGATTTTAATACTTAATTGAGGTAAGAAAAAACTGCACTCTTAACTAAGCTGGTCCTATCTAAATAATTTAACACAGCAATGTTGTCAATAATCGCATCCAGACATTTGACAGTTAACGCTAAATCAGTGTTAACATCTTTGTCTGACAGGCATTAGCTAGTTAGCGTTAGCTTTAGCTGCGAAGATTGAACATTTTAATAGATTTTACGTTTGGTGACCATTCTGCTCACAAAGTGCTCATCGAGTGTCTATTGGACAACAATACATGCTTGTTAACGTGAACACCTTGCCGTTTGTCGTTAAGTAGCTAAACACAGTTAGGTAACGATGGGTCGTTTAGCTAATGCTAGCTAGCTGCTAGCAGCCCATCCCAATTTGCACTGCAGGTTAAATCATGTGCCATCAGTTTTAGCAAATGTCAGCTGATAATTATTTGGCAAACCTAATAGTACTTTAGCTAATTTATTGACAAGCTACGTACGTTATTCAAACGTTATTCACAGGAGGTTTTTCTGCTAAGCTAACCTAAAAGTTTACCTTCATTTGTTTATCACGCCACTTAGATTGAAGTGTTTCACCTGGCCAGCCGGCTGTAAACATTGTGTAGCCCTGTCTCTAAGTACAGTGCCTTTCTGTCAGTCTGAGCAAATAAGTCAATAAAATAGCGCAATAAAGCAGATAGTTAAGCTTTTCAACAGCTGACAGTTGTAGGTTATCTGGCCAGTTAGGTTATGCAGTAAAGGGAGTTGATTTTTCACTTGACAGGAGTGTGTATCTCCTCCGTCATGAATGAATGGGCTTGGAAGAGAGATGCACAGGCAGCTGGGGAAGTCAAAGTGTTGAGGTGGATCACACTTTGTTGGTTTTCGTCTTTTCATTGGATTTAATTAAAAAAAATACAGAATATCAGCGGCCTTTAAATAATCCATAGACTGTAGCTGAAAAATATTTGAGATTTACACCACGTTTTTATATTGTTTACATATTTCTTTCACTAATTGCTCTTTTTTTTCAGACTTAGTCATGTCTCAGGTGGAGAAGAAGGCAGGGCTGCTTAGGAGGACATCATCCTCTAAAAAACCCTTGAAAGAGAAGGTGGTGCTGATGTATGATGAGATTTTTGCAGTGAGTATCACAATGGAAGAATGTCAGTGGGGAAAGTCTAGAGAAATAAATGAATCTTCAAATCTTAACAATATCCTTTCTGCTTTGTTTTAGAAAGAGGACCCAGCCAAAAACAACCCTCGCTTCTGGGATGAGCTGTTTCTTATGAAGGTACAGCAAAGAAAAAAAAATGCTTGAGTAGAATTGCATGTGTTTGACATAACAGGAAATCTCTCATGACACTGTGTGGGTCTATGAAGTTGCAGCAGTGTTAGCAGTAATGCTAACGGAGATGTATGGGAAGTATCAATACAAATAAACCCTGCCAAATGTTCAAATGTAGAATGTGCAAAAATCTGTTTATACATTACGGTAATATTGGAATTGTGATAGTATGCACAGAAGTTTTTCTAGAAACTCGAGATGGAGTCATCATCATCATAAATGTACAGAAAAATGCCATAATTATGACATATTTGTAGCCGTACAAGAGGAAGTAATGCACTGTGCAGAAATCACTCGTCCTGTTTTAACAGAAGTGTATTGTGAAAATAACAACTATCATGTCCTAGTAACTTTGGTCCTGTATCTTATGCATGTTCACTGTCTACCAACTTTTTTTTTTAAATGTCTGTCCCATCATGTTGCAGGTGAACCTAGAGTATCTGGAGTCTAAGTTGGAGAGTGTAGATGGGGAAGAAGTTCAGCGCATCCAAGACAACATCAACTCTCTGTTCCACCACTGTGTTCAGGCTCTGGGAGAGGAGCACCAGATCAAAGTGGTCAATGCCCTGCAGGTAACCACAGCCCGGGAGGGTGACATAGATTTTCAACTGTGCTACAATCACATCGGATGCATCTTAAGTGTGCTAATAAGACTGTAACTGCTGACAAATGATCTTGTCTTGTCTGATTGTGATTGGAATTCAATCTGTTGTTGTTTGTTCAACTTTTGTGCTCTTCTGTCCTTCCCCTCCCAGACTCTGTGTGCACTTTTCCGAGGGGTTCATCAGAAGAACAAGTCAGCGTCTGGCTTCGACATCATCAACATGCTCATGGGATTTGACAAGGCTGAGCAAAGGATGAAGGTACGTGATGAGTGAAAAAGATTCATAATGAACGGGTAAATGAAAAGACCACTGGAGTTTTCTTTTGTATTCATTCACATCATTTCGTCATGGTTGTGCCTCCTGCAGGACCTGATGGAGAGACTGGACAGCCTTCTCTGTGGAGACGGCTCAGAGAGTCTGAAGAGCCTTTGTCTCAAACTACTGCTGTGTCTGGTGACGGTAAGACAGGACACATCAAAACAGCAACATGGAAGAAGTGGTGATGAGCTTCGGGGGAATGTTTGTTGTCCTTTTAACTTAAACACTCTTAAATATGTGAAAACGTGTGTGTTGACAGGTAACAGACAATATTAGTCAGAACACCATACTGGAATATGTGATGATCAACAGCATCTTTGAAGCCATTCTACAAGTAAGTGATTAGTGGAAGACTGTGTTTAATGTAGTTCTGTGATTTCCTGTGATTCTTTTTCTTTTCCTCCCAGTGTGGTCATCTCTGCTCTCTCTCTCTCTCTCTCTCCCCTCCTCAGATTCTGTCAGATGTCTCCAGTAGAGGGCAGCATGGTTACGATGCTGTGGTCCTTCTGGCCCTCCTGGTAAACTACAGGAAATATGAGGTGTGTGTTATGTGCATATGCTGATTGGTGCTTGTTTCTTTTCTTGTTGTATAGTCTTTTCAGCAGCAGGCTTGTAGCAGGCTTAAGAGCTGCTGAATAGACACTGACTGTTCATCCAAGAACTCCAAAGATCAGCTCTCTTTACCTCCGCTCTTTTTCTTTTCTGCTATGACTCGAAAACTGATGTGCTGCTGTAAGGTCTCACCTGTAGAGGATACAATAGAAACAAGTCTCTCTTTTTAGTACAAGATGTACAGTACTGGTGTGTCATTTCTGGGAGGCTCTTTTTTTAGTTCAGGGCTGCACCATGCCCATGGGATATGAGGGAATAATAAAAGGGCAAGGCATTTATTTGACTGTGTTGATAACATTTTTCTCCACTAAAGAAATGTTGCAACACTCAGATCATTAAAATCAGTGTTGTATGAGGAAAAAAACATTAATTATTAGTTTGGTAGACTTTATTGTGCCCACTGGATTTTTTTTTCTCACAGCAGTCTGCACAACAATTAACACACAGCTGTGACAGGCAGATATACGTAAATGCAACACAACAGCACATAACAGCGACAGGTAAAACAACATGAAAATAGGGCACAGACGATGACGATCCATGACGATGACGGGAAAACGGCATGAGGACAAGATTCTTAGCGAGCCACCCCGATTAGAGCTGCTATGGCTGCGGGTACCAGGCCCTTCTGCACCACAGGGACCTGCACCTGCGTCATTGAAGGCAGTGATGTCCAGTGCTATTGTGTTTGCATTACGTGTGATGACTTGACAGTTTAGCTCTTTGAGGTTGGGTGTTGGGAGACCTATTATCTTGGCAGCAGCATGTAATTTTGTGCAGTGTGTACATGAAAGCTTTGACTTGGGTTATGTCTGCTATCAAAGGGCCACTTGTCCTACATTTCAGTGATAGAGAAGCAAACATACTGTCTGAAACGGCCTCCAATTCGCCTCCCTCTCCAGTTATTTCCTGGAAGGATAAGAGTGACAGTGAGGGAGGGGAAAAGAGGATGAGGAGTAAGTTTTTGGGTGCACCCTGATACTGCATGTGAGCAAAGTGGGCAACAACACGAGGAGCTCTCTTTGCATTTTTTCTATTAAGATGTGCACTCCAAAATGTGTAAGACACAGCTTTAGTCGGCTGCACTTTATATATGGCAACATTTTCATGCAGCATAAAAAATACTGCTAAATTTCAGCTAATGGAGATGAATTGTCGATTTTCGACGTTTCCTGTTTGGACTAGCTGTTCATAAACTTAGACTAGGCTAAAAAAGCTGATCTATCTGTTTTTCAGTTGCATTATTGCACCTGGCATGGAATATGCAAAAGGTCCTTAGCCTGACCATCCTTCCATTAATCAGCTGATTATTCTCTTGATTAACTGAATAGTCGTTTGGTCTGTGAAATGCTAGAAAATGAGCCCCTGGAGCCGTGAAAGAGAATTGCCCTTTAACATTCAGGATGATTCACATTAACATTAACATTTGTGTCACATATTTGACGGATACATATGTCTCTGTTTTCTCTGTCAGTCTGTGAATCCATACATCGTGAAGCTCTCCATTGTGGACGATGAGCCAACATTAGATGTGAGTATGTTGTCACTTCCTGTATCTTCTTACTTGCTGAATGATAAATAGCCAGTCTGATGTAGGTCCTGGCCTCCGCATCAAGCACATTGTCAAAGGTTTGATTGTAACACTGACTGTTTTCTTTCCCAGGGAATGGGGATGGTTGTCCACCAAGCTTTGACAGAATATAACAGGTGAGATCTAAAACTGTCCATGTGTCAAAAGTCTTTTTAATGATCCACTGCATGGTGCGCTGGCGTCAGCAGTTTCGTTTGATGTCTCCCACAAATGTTCTATTTCTATTCTCCTGGAAAAAAAGGCTCCTTTTATTCTTTTAGTTATTTATATCTGACAGTTTTCTTTGGCAGTCGGTAATGTTTTTTGGATGAGGCAAGGTTTGGAAATTAAAATGCTGTTTGTGAAGGAGGTCTTGTCTGTGTGTGTGCGAAGACATGCACATCAAAGTGATGGATGACAGCTCTACACAGTTCATTGTTTTTGTGTATAAACTGAATGCCCCGTAGATAATAAATTGCAGGGAGGAGACAGATGTTAGGTAAATAAATGTGTGTTAGGTTACGAATACCCTGTTTGAATGAGAATGTACATCTCTGCCTCTGCTGTTGTGTGGCCCTTTCTGTCTTCAGTTTATTTGTCATTCTCTTTACTTTTTCATTACTTCCTACTTTATGTCCATCTTGTCTTTTTCTCCGCCTCTCAGGCAGTACAAAGACAAAGAGGAGGAGAACCAGGGTGGGTTCTTCTCTACCCTGACTAGTATGGTAAGAACTTGTTCTCACTTACATTTTAATCATAGACATGTCTTAAATTGATCGATATTTCTTCTATTCGGACATTTTTTTTTTTTTTTTTTGTGATAACTTGATCCTTCTTTTGTCTACAGGTGGGCAGTATGTTTATAGCAGATGCTGATGAGAAACTCTCCGTACAGTAAGTGCAAAGTGATTTAAGTTCTTACTCATCAGTTAGCATTAATTGCATTGTTCTCTACACTTTCAATGAGGGAATTCGTTACGGCTGCGGTGTTTTTTCTTGCCGCCTGCTTTGTCATCGTTTAAGGTTCCAGCATGAAGTTTAAATAAACTTAATACCACAGTGGGCAATAGGCAACGGACCAAAACCTGGTATTAAAATTAAATTATTAAAGATTGTGGTATTAATAAGTTCCATCAATATTGGTCTTGCTCTCATAGTAATGAAGAAAAATAGATTTGCTATTTATTATTGCTACATAAAAAGAGCTTGCGTGTGTCTTCAAAAAAGCAGAAACTGCTACGGTACAGACTGATATTTGATTGGCTCATGGCATGACTTCATCATTTGTTGGAGGTAACAATTAAACATGTGGATCATTACATTAAGAGTGAATATTAAAAGCTCTTGAGAGGGACAATTACGACTCTCTAAGCGTTTTCACTCAGGAGTTGGATGTTGATTGCTGCCCTGGTCCTGTTCATTAGATTTTGCAGTAAATGACTGAAAAAAATTGGAGGGATAATATTTGTATCGGTAAACGAGGCTCACTGTTGTTTTACATTGTTAATTTCAGTGAATTTATCAGCATTAAAATTGAATGTAAAGATTAAAAAAGTGACTTGCTGATGCTTGAAGTGATTGTTAATAAACTCTGAACTCCAGACTGCTCCTCCACTTGTTTCATGAGCTTGACTGGATGAGAGTCTGAAGCTGTTTCCTGCTCAGTCTAATGTCATGTGAAGATTTGGAGATTTTACTTCGTAAATGAAAACGCTCACTCTAAACCGCCAACTTCTTTTTCACCTCAAGGACAAATGAGGCGATTCTGCTGGCACTGTATGAGGCTGTGCACCTAAACCGCAACTTCATCACTGTATTAGCACAGGTAAGATGCACTGCTTTTCCTCCAGGTGTACATTTGTGCTCACCTCTTTCTAATGTTAATCAAAACGAGGACAGAGGCCCAGTTGCAGCTAATTTTCCAATCACAGTTTTCATCAGTTTTATTGCATAAAAACATCTGTACCTGCATTGTCACCTGAAATAAAGTTGGTGAGGAGCAACCTGAGCTTTATCTAGTGGAATTTTTTTTTTTTTTTTTCTGGGAAGGAAATATGGGTTTTCCAAAATAAGAGAGGTTACAGGCTTATTAAAAGCTAATTTGTTCTTAAAGTCTGCAGTTTAAATCTGTGTGTTTTTATTCTCCTCTCATCTTGGGGCTTTGAAAAATGGGAAAAGGTTTTCTATTGTTTTGCATCTGTGATGTGACATGACATTTAATAATGGACAAGCTGGAAGACAGTGATTAGAAAAGAGGCTTCACCTCTTCTTGACATTATTCAGAACAGCAGGTTGGATTTCTGCAGCAGATATTGAATGTCAGCAGAGAGTTCATACTGTGACTTTATGTTGGTATTAGTGTTTTTTCAAAAGTGTGCTAGTTGTGAAATTCACTTCTCCACTATCAGTCAATCCAATCTGTTACTTTGACTTTATTGATCCCTGCGGGGACATTCATTCTTTGAGCCATCTGACTGACTGACTGACTGACTGACTGACTGACTTAATAGTACGGACAGGTTAAATGCTGTTAGGATGTGCAGACACGGCACAGTGTCTCGGGACAAACTCTCATTCTGCCGCTTGTTGCACGGCTGTAGCAGGTTACGTATCTTAGGACAAACGATCAGCAGTGCCTAATGCACTGTTGTGTGTAAATGTTTTGCACTACTAAAAGTAAACACTCCTCTTCCTGTTCCTTTCTCTCTGTCCTCATTTGCATCTCGTGTCCAGCCTGCATTTTTTTTCCAGTACATTACGGGACACAAGGGACAGTTATTCACTGTTATTGACATTTCATGTGTTCATTGTTTGTCTTTGAACAGAGCCACCCTGAGATTGACATCCCAACCACACCTACCACCCCCACTCCAACGACACCCACGACACCACTTGGCACAACACCGCCCTCCCTAGACAGTAAGCTATACACGTTTTCATATTTTTATTCAGATTCACTAAACAACACATATAGTGTCGGTGACATTACCCGTTGGTTTCTGAAGGTCTGGCCTCAATGTCGCTGTGTGGAACCACATTTTGTGCAACAAGGAAGAACAGGGGTGAAACTAGAAAAACAAGTGACCACAGGAAATTGCAGGGTTATGGGAAGAATGAGTTGAGGCAATGTAGTAAAAATGATATGTTTAGGTGCAAGTCTTTATGGTTAAGTTCAAACTAAACATACTTAGAGTCAACCATGTTCAAACGTTCACTTAGAATATAAACAAAATGGACCTATCCTCATTTAATCTCAGTCTTTTTACATTCATTTTTGACCCCCCCCCCCAATTCACTGCAGCGCTGAGCAGAAACTCTCAGACACACACATGCACCCACAACAGCAACCTTTTCAAATATTCACCACTTTTTTATGTTTATCTGAAAGAAGGGAGTTGCTGATCTAAACCCACTTATAATGTGGATTTATTACAGTTTAATAAGGAGATTATTACATTATCCCAAGTATTTACTAATCTCTCTTTGAAACTGAGTGCACGGCTGTCACTTCAGGTTATCTGGTAGGCGTATGTTGTCGCAAGCACGTTCAAAAGCAGGTCATTTAGCATGCACACACGCTGTAACTATTAAAAGGTGCATGTTCTAATCTCAGACGAGCTCTCCTTCCAGTGCTTCGAACCTAAGAGCCATTTTCCGTATAAAATATTAACCTCTAGATTCAAATACAGGTGAATGTTTCACATGGAGAGTGCCTTATTCCCTGTCATGGGAGCTTCAGCACTTACAGGCTCCTCTTCTTAGACCAGAAACAGTTGCACACATGCGCCTGCAGTCACATGTCAGGATTATACCTTTTTCCTTCCACAGTTTTGCTCCATGTGATGATATGTTTCTTGACAGTGTGAAATCTTCTTTTCCGCTGGGCGTGCATTGATCTGAGGAAGAAGGAAACAAATGAGGGTCTGGGGATGTGGAGGTTAGGGATAGGGAGATAGAAATGACCGGCTCATCATTTATCCATGAAACAAACTGTATGTTTCACAGTGCAGAGATTTTAAAATGGATGAAAATGCATGTCTTGACAACACGGCAAGCTACAGTATCTACAGTGATGGGACAAAGACATACTTTTTTTGTAACCGCTGCTTGAATGAGCACTTTGCAAACAAGGAAAACAAGGACAACGATGCTCATCATACTCTCTTTTAGACAGTAGACTTTGACTTTAGACATTATTATTTATGGAATAACTGATAACTGACTGTACAGTTTTTAAGCCTCCACTCCAACGAGGGCTGTGGCCAGAGGCATTTATGTTTTTGGGTTGTCCGTCCGCCCTTCCCGTCCTCATGAACATGATATATCTCAGCAACGCCTGGAGGAATCTGGCGTTCACTTAAACTCGAGGAGGAACTGATTAGAATTTGGTGGTCAAAGGTCAAATGTCACGGTGACCCCGCAAAACATGTTTTCGGCCACAACTCAAGAATTCATACGTCACTTACTGAATTGGTGACACTAAACTTGGTGCCCACCTTGAAACTGTGGTGATTGTTAAGATCTTCTGTGCTGCCGGGTTGAAGATGTGTGTGCAGCATCCACTTATTAGAATTTGTAGCTTTTTTGCTGCAACATCCGTATTTGAGGCATTTGTCCACTGTCATGGCTACAACTTTGTGTTCTATCAGAATCAGCTTCATTGGCCAAACACGTGAGGACATACAAGGAATTTGACTCCGTTTTTTGTCCGTCTCATTGTGATAGCTTCCTTTTTGCCAAAAAATACACTTAATACATTTTTAATTAAATTCCCTCAAAGTCTTTACTAGTTATATAATTATGTTCTCTCTGTTTTGTTCATATGTTTGTCCTCTTTCTCCAAATATTTGCAAGAATTTAACTGCAGTGATTAATGTTTGATGGAAGTTTTATTTGTACATTTGCTGTGTAGTGATGAACAACCCAGAACTGCCTCTGGATCCCAACCTGCAGACCAGCAACCTTCTCATTACCTTCCTCAAGTATGCCTCCATTGTAATGCAGGACACTAAAGGTAAACAGAACCCCTCATGTCCTCTTCCTCTTTCTCTCTGACACTCTGCCTTTTATTTTTTATCCATCTGTGTCCCTGAAGTGCTCCTATGTAGTTGTTCTCTTCTATCACTCCACAGTTATCACACTTTGTAACATTCATTTGTTTCAGTTTTCCTACCTGTTAAGAGTCTCATGTGTGTGTTTCCAGATGAACATCGACTGAACAGTGCCAGACTGTGCCTAATTATTCTCACCTGCATAGCCGAGGTACGGGCAGCTCATGCTTCCACACTGTTCCTACGGTCTGACTATCTGTGACATTGTCTTTGTTCCTAATCCACGTCTGTGTGTGACAGGACCAGTACGCCGACGCCTTTCTCCATGATGACAATATGAACTTCAGAGTCAATCTCCACAGAATGGTGAGTTTATTGTTCTGACAGTGAGCAAATACATTATAAAACCTATGGTATGCAGGTGCTTTCAGCTGTCAGCATTTAAGGTACTGTACATATTATAGTACTTTTCTTTTAATTATCTGTCACATGCACCTGGAAAAAAATCTGCCAGATATATGTAAATAAAATGTTATTGTCTTTATAAATTATTGCTTATTAAAGCTGATATCAGCCAGTACTGGTTTATGCCAACACACTGGTCCATCACTTGTGTACAGTATCATGATTATATCCTCATATACAGTACCAATCAAAAGCTTGGATGCACATTCTCATTCAAGTGAATGGAAAAGTATATCCAGACTGGACTGGACTGGTTTCTGGTAAACCTTTGGAGCTTTCAGCCATATCTCTTGGCTTTCATTAGCAGATAGATATTTCTTAGTTGTCATGGAGATTGTTGTTGGATAGTTGTATATTATGGAATTTCGGTTGCTACGTGCCTCCCGTATACAACCACCAGTTTGGAATATTGGCCACATTATAACAACTGAGCCGTCTCCATGACGACTGAGGCAAATTCACTGACGGCTACAAGATGTGGCTAGAAGCTCTGTACATTTCCCAGTAAGTGGACCTAATGCTGTAAAGTTTTTGTGGAAATGTTATTTACGTTGTTAATACTGTAATGAACCTTCAAGATTCCTCCTGTGTCTTTTTCAGCCCATGAGACACAGAAAAAAAGCAGTGGACAAGAACATCCCTTCTCGGCCGCTCGTGTGTGCTGTTCTAGGTATGAGGAACATTAAGAACTTTAGTGTATGCTCATGTTTGATATTTTTGAAGGCTAGTTAGTTAGCTATAACCTCTGGATCTACCTTGTCATTTCCCATGGTGACCGGTTGGGTAGCAAACCAGACGTTTTCATTTTAAGGATGAGGGATGAGGACACAATGTAAATTACTTTAAGTTTTTAATTCTCCATTTTCGTCCCTTTTGCCAGGCTGGGCAGCCAGCTTTGGCAGAGTATTGTAATCAACAACTCTAAAATGACTCTTCTAAACTAGACTCTCGAAAACTTTATTGTGCGTTGTCAATAAATATCATTGAGACGTGTTATTGGCAACTTTGTTTTTTTCCTGGATAGAGTCCTGCGTAAAGCTTTGTTTGCTTTACAGCTTCACACACTATAATGTTATCAACCTAGAAAGATGATGTATTCTTCTTTTTCCATTGACGTTGCATGCTTTATTGCAGCCAATAAGATATTTGCAGTTCAAAGTTGGTGCAATTTAATCCTCTTGGTTTGTATCTGTCCAACAGTTTTTCTACTTCTCCCCTCTCCTATTTCCCTTTGTGTAGACCTGATGGTGGAGTTTATTGTCACTCATATGATGAAGGACTTCCCCATGGATTTATACTTGTGAGAGCACATGCACACTACACACACACACACACACACACACACACACACACATGCACACACTATTATTATAGTCTCATACACCGTCCAGCGTTGTTAACCACAGTTAATTTCATGTGCAGGCGCTGTGTGCAGATCATCCACAAACTCCTGTGCTACCAGAAGAAATGCAGAATCAGATTACACTACACCTGGAGAGAGCTCTGGTCAGGTAAAGATTGCTCACTTTCTCTCTTGTCTCAGTTTAGTCAGGATTAGTTGTCATCTTTAATAAACTAAACTGTGCCACCAGCATAGTAATGAGTAATTGTAATGATTGATGTTGATTCTTATTTATGAGATCGTGTTTATAATTTAATTTTTCAAATTAAGTTTCAAGACCCCACATATGCATGATTAACATCTTTGGGATTTTTGTTTTGCTGGGCATCAGCTCATGAGCTGAGTAAGTAGTTGCTGCTTTTCTAAAACAAACCCAATTTCTTGTTGAAGTCGTTTTGGAAACGTATTGCATCATTGAGATTTGATAATGAGTCTCTAAAGAAAGCGCAATCCATCCTGGTGGTCTTGTTTTCAGCCTGGTCAACACACAGTAGGATAACATTTCAGCTTGTAATGGCCCCATCACACCGTGTCTCATTAGGATACACATTTCTCTAATCAGACCAATAATCTGCTTAATTCCCTGAATAACACCGAGCCTCTCCTCCTGGTGGTGATAATAGCATACCATGAAATAAGACTGGAGAGAAAAAAATGAGCCAAATTAAAGCAATAGATGTGCTCGTTGTTCTGCCAGCTTGTGTTGCAGCATGTTAAATGTTTTTTGTTTTTTTTTGTGCGTACACATTGTGTCTCTTCTTATGGGGGTTGTTTTCCTCAATAAAAGCTTGTGAAATGACTTGATTTGGTGTTGAAAGGTTTTCCCTCCTCCTGTGTTTCCATTATCTACCTTAATAAAGATACACACTGAGGAAAGCAGACTGCTGCCATATACTTCTGCTGGTAGACGACTGTCAGCACTCCAGATTATTTTATTAATGCGAGCATGTCTCCCTCTGCACAGCTCTCATCAACCTGCTGAAGTTCCTGTTGTCAAATGAGACCACACTGCTGGCCAAGCACAACATCTTTCATCTGGCCTTACTGGTGAGAGACAACACACACACACACACACACACACACACACACACACACACACACACACTCACAAAACATGCAGACAGGAGTCTGACAGAGTACAGTCCACAAAGGAAATCATTTTCACACCAGTATGTGTATCCTCTTGTAGTAGGAGGTGAACCAGATGCTGTTAGTGTGGTGCTGCTTATAGCCCAGCTGTGCATACGTCTGAAATCGCACACTAGAGTTTAAATGTCTCTTATTAGTTTTTTATAAGAGGAGAGGGAAAAAGCCAACCGGGCTGTATTTGCAGAAATCGCTATATGAATTTCATTTCCCTTTAGGTCTTATCTGTTTGAGAGTGAGTATCAGACTTAATGTGTGTCTCCTTATCCAGGTAGTGAACCTGTTCAACATGTTCATAACATACGGCGACACGTTCCTGCCCACCTCCAACAGCTACGACGAGCTGTACTATGAAATCGTACGAATGCACCAGGTCTTCGACAACCTCTACTGTATGGGTACGTTAGCAGTTTTTACCTGAGAAGAGCTGAAATTATTCCTAATCTCATCTGCTATTTAAAGAAAGATATAATCAGTATATTTATTATAAAAATGGATCAAATGACTGTTAAATATGAAAGGGATCACTACAAGTGACAAACGCATCACAGACTCCACAGTTCTCCTTATTACTACAGACTTTTTAGCTTCTTTCATCTCTTTTGGCCCCAACTTTATTATTTTGGTTCACTCCCACTGTTGTTATTGTTTTCAGCTCAACACCAAACAGCAGACAGACACAGTTACAGTAGCGACAGGCTGGTGAACATAGTGGAACATTTAGCAGGTGTAGAGAATGGTCTGGCTGCACCCATCATCATTCTGCTATAGGGGAGAAAAAAACACTCTGGCTCGTTTGCATTTCTTTAAACCAATCACAATCGTCCAGGGTGTCGCTGAGCCCGGGATGCAGCAACAGTGCACCTACATCCGCTGAGTCAGACTATTTAATTGGTAATTAGTTATTAGAGAATGAAAGCAGTACTTTGGTTAGAGAAGAGTTAACTGAGAACAACAGCAGTCAAGAGTTAAACTGTGAACAAATTTTCTGTGAATGATAACTGGGGAAAAGAGGAAATTAACAATATAAGTCTGTCTCTAATATAATGATCAATGAAGGCCACCCTTTCAGAATTTACAGTGGTGGATTGAACTATTTTGACATCAAACATTCTCCAGTTCCAGCTTCTCAGTTGTGAGGATTTGCTGCTTTCTTTCTTTTAGTATCGTAATAATTGACTGTCTTTGGATTCTGGACTGTTTGTCGGACAAAAGAAGACATCTTTGAGCCTTTGGAAACTCTGACGGACATTTATTTTCTGGCTTTTAAAAGACCAAATGATCTATTGGTTCATTAATTGAGAGTGAAAATAATCATGAACCTTTAACATGACAGGGTCAAAAGAGACATGTACAAGTGCGTCTGATTCAGTGTGTTTTTATTCTCTGCCTTTCAGTTTTGAGAGTATCAACCAACACAGGCCAGTGGAAGGAGGCAGCCAGCAAAGTCACGCACGCCCTTGTCAACGTTCGGTAAAAATGCACACACACTCTTAACACACATACACACACAGCATGCCAAGAGGCAGAAAAGAGTCATATTTGATTTAAGGGAAATGCAAACTAGAATGTGATGGAGGAAGGTCAAATTAAAGTGAATGAAGTCAAGTCTTTGGAACTGTAATTTGGGTTCTCCATCCCCATCCTGTTCCTTTCTTTTCTGCCCCCCAGGCCCCTCTATTCGATAATTATAAGCCTTTATCTCCTTCACCCCAACCCAATCCACACACACACTGTACTTCATCTCTCCTCCAACATTTTCCCACATAATCTCTCTTTTCCTCCTCCATCTTCTCCGAGGAGATGATCCTCTGAGGTCACCCCGGCTTGGAGGCCCCTGAGGGCACCCGAATGAGCCGGGTACCCCCAGTGGGTTCAGCCACTCAACTGGTCTCCCGATGAAGTAGACGTCACTGCTTTAATATGCAGTCACAAGGGTTGAAGGGAAGGCAAGGGGAAAAGAGACTGATGGAATAATGTTTGAAAGAATAGATGAATAACTGAATTAAGGCAGAGAGCTATAAAGAACCCAGAGAGACTGTGCGGAAGTTAACTCAAATGAAGGGACCAATCCCATTTCCCTCCCATCACATCTATCCTCCGCACGCTGGCTTCCCACATGGAAATGACACCAGGATTATCACTATGGAGAAATCTTTGCATTTTTGTCACTGTAATTTATTTGATATATTACGCTCTCTAACCCAGTACAAAATAACACACTTCATCTCACAGCTGTGTTTATTGTATAAACTTATATTTGCGCTACAAAGCAGTTTATTTCTCAGAAATGAATGCCGATGCTGGAAAAGATTGTCTCTGAATTTACATCTGAAATTCCCCGGTGTGTTGACACAACGTGAAGGAGGCGCTGAGACAGATTTAAATAGGAATGAATAGAAATGAGTTTTGGTGTTAAGCAGGCTGTCTGAAACTGGTGCTGCTTCAAACTTTTCTTGTCAAAAATCAAGTCAAAACTGGTCATTGCAAAGCTGCACACCTTGAATATTATTATTTTTGATTATATTATTAGTTTACACCTAAACAAGAAATAACCAGAAAGTCACACTAGGCACTAAAATGTATGGAAGGCTGGTGGCAAGGGTACACTACATACACTGCCAAAAGTATGCAGACACAGTAGTTTTGGTCTGGGACTGATGTTCATGTTTTGGTCCAGGACCCTTAGTTCCAACTAGAGAAAATAATATTTTAGATTACTTCCACACTGAGCCATCTAATTCTTTTCTGTTTTAAATTATTATTATTTATTGTTTTTTATTATTATTGATTGTGGCTCATTTATACTACCTGATAATCAGACAGCATTGTCTTGGCTGCTGAGCTGCAGTGCTGGTCAGATCATTGTTTTGAGACCACAACATTGTCTGAGAAATGAACATAAATACAGGACAAGGTTGTCCTGTGAGTTACAGACCAAAAAAGATTTCTCTATTTATTTTATTGCCACACAACCCCCAACTCCATTTTTTTTTTTTTTTTTGGTGAGAGCCCTGACCTCAACCCCATCCGACACCTTTGGGATTACCTGGAATGGACCAAATCCCTGTAGCCAGGATCCAAAATCTTGTGGAAAGTCTGTGGAAAGCAGATAAATGTGAATGGTTTTGGAATGAGATGTTGGAACAGCTGTTCACACCTGGCATTATAATGTTCCTCCGCATGTGGTTCGATTGACCACTGAATGGATCTCGCTTCCCCCGTTTCTATATGTTAAAAATATGTTCGTGTTGTTGTTTTTAACCAGTCCGACAGAAGGCTCTGTTGTCAATGTGTGTGTAGTGTCAGAGAGAGAGAGAAAGAGAGAGGGAGTAGGGCATGTAGGGGTTGAGCAAATAAATGTGCTGCTCACAGCTGTACATTGAAATAAGGTTTTATCCATTTGAAATAGTAAAGTATATTCAGTTATTATGAAACTGTGGTGGGACAAATTGGACTGTGGTAGAGGATGTAAGCTGAGTGGGCGGTCCTTCAATGTGGTCCAGGACACACTTGCATTCATATGTAGCCCAGACCGCCTCTGAATGTGGTCTGAATGATCGCATCTCAAATGTGTCCTCACACACCTGTACGTACAGCTGTCCACTTGAGATTTGATGACCTGAGATAGATATTAATGCCATGTCTGAAACGGCCCTGAGTGTCCACATACTTTTGACAATGTAGTGTATGTCTTGGCATTTGAGGAAGACGTCCATCTGTGTGTCATCTCAGAATGGCTTGTGTTTTTCTCTTAAAGGGCGATCATCAACCATTTTAACCCCAAGATTGAGTCCTACGCTGCGGTGAACCACATCTCCCAGCTGTCAGAGGAACAGGTAAGCACAACACACTCTACCTCCACTGACACTACGCCTACAAGTTGCTTGTAAATAAAAATAAACATCTCGGGGCTATTTGGGTTGAACTCTACTGAAACATCACTCCTGCCATTTCAAAGGTAAATCTTATAAATTTTTTACTGCACAGTGGAAAGCATTCAGTACTTGGAAGTGTTTGAGAAGGGGTGCATGTTATTTTGAAAGAATGCCTATTCATCAAGAAGTAGTTACGGCTCTGTGGCAGAGATGAATGACTCAGACATTGGTTATTGTGATGAGACAACTGGAAGAGCAGTTGTTATCTCACACACACCACTGAGCTTAAAGCTCATCACGGCTGATTCATTGCACACACTTCAGGCAGGTGGGACGAGCCTGTTCACAACAAATATTTTAACACAGTTCATGACTGATGGTGGCACACACTTTGGTTGTTGTCACTTCTAGTGACACTGATATACAACAACTTGTATACTTGTCTATTAAACATAGACAGTATTCTCCTCTTACTGTGCTTTTAAAGGAAATATGACCCTAAAAGTAAAGCTTGAATTATTCTGATTATAGAAAGGTATAAATATTGCAGTTTCTCTGATGTCCGCAGCCAGTCTTGTAGAAATAACGCCAATTTATCCACGCAATAAGAGTCCAACTGCAAAACAAACAGAATGCGAATTGAGTCATTAAGCAACTGGACAGCTTTTGAAATGCTGAGTTATTCCTTCATTATTAGTGGAAAAACGTGAGTCTGGCCTGGAAGGAAACTGAACTGATTTGAAAATTGTGAGCTCCATTTAAGACTTTATCCTTGATGTCAAATTGGTGAGGACAGGAAAACGGCCGGGAATCCCTTTTTTAACAAGCTGATAAGAGAGTGATGGATTTGGTCATTATACTCCCCAATTACCTCTCTGCTTTTATCTGCTAGATTTATTCACAACAAAAAGGGAAGGCAGAAGTTAGCTTCGGTGTCGGTGAGCTGCCAGTGGTTTCTTCATCTGTGGCACTTTTCTTTGCCGTTAGTAGCAGTCTTCATGGAGCGACTGTAATTTGATCATTGTCAGCAAATTCAGCGATAACACAGAAGTCACCCTCTTCTATTTAACAAACGGATTCCAGCATTAGCTGGAAGAGGAGCTCTGTAAATACAACGATACGATAAAGGAAGGCGCTACTGCTGCATTTTGCTGGTAATATATTACTGTCTCTTGTAAAACAGCTTCAGCCCATCATACGCTGAAGAATAAAGTGGGAAAAATCCTGAATTTGCCTTGTTTGTCATCACGGTAATCGTCAATCAACAGTTTACTGCAACACCCCTAGTTGAATAACGTCAAATTAGAATTAGATTAACCATCTCCAATTTGAAGACTTCAGTCACATATATGAGTTGTGGACTTCTTGAGCCATTCTATGAGGTAGTGGTGCCCAACACGTTTCTGCATTGATTGCTATCAACGCCAGTATATGAAGCCAGATTCGTTTCCAGTCCTTTGGTAATCACATGTAATGCAAGGCAATAAACCAATACTGTCGCTGACCGACGTTCAGCAGTTAAATTATTTGATATCTGATCTTGGCATACACTTTAATTTTCATGACATAGAGTACTCAGACATCTGAAAAATCTTCTTTTTAACGTTGTGATATTGATGAATATTCAGTGGGAGGAAGTCTAAGTCCTGTCTAAACCTTCTGACACGCCTCTCCACAAAGTCTCTACTGAACAATGCTTAGTATTATAGGAGGCCTTTAAAGAAAAGCTGTTACACAGGTTTTTCTTAATGCTGAGCTGTCAAATATCTTTATGGATCAGCTTTATTGGATTTTATTGTAGACTAAACACACTGTGGCTTTGATATGTAGGAAATGTAGAGAAATGCACTAAGTCACTTGGATCAAGAGCAAAAAACATGATCTGTATTGTTAGGAGGTATTTTTTTAAACCGCTGTAATTTCATGCTGGAATAAAACCTATTGATTTTCCTGTTGGATTGTGATTATAATATACAGTATATTTCTAAGATTGGGGATGTAACTTGGTTAGTAACCAGCAGTCATTTTTATGGTTATAAATGATAAAATGCAGTTGTTTTGAAACTTTTAGAATTTATAAAAATGTAGGTCAAATTTTTTTTTAAAATGCAGGAGAGAATGGACAAGAATAAAAGACATCTTCCCTCTGGCTGAACAAAACATTGCTCTTATCAAACAGACACAAAAAGGACACGTAAAAAAGAGAGAGAACAGGAACAGATGATGTATTGAACTTGGAACAATTTAAAGTGCTCATATTATGCTTTTTGGGTTTTTCTCTTTCCTGTTGTGAGTTAAAGCTCTTTTGTGCGTGTAAAATTTCTGCTAAGTTACAAATGGCAAAAGGAGTTGTTGTCTCCCACAGAAAAATGCCTTGTTTATATTCAAGGCTTTATAATATATAATATAACATATACTAATCAACACTCACACACACACACATACTAAAACACATTAACCACCAGCACTCCATCCGCCTGGAGTGGTCTTAGACAGTGACACCAGAAGATGGATGGCCTCCAGAAACACACAGCATTAAAACGAGCTGCTGTAATCTGTCCGTCTGTCTCGGTGCACAATGTCAGAGCCAAAGCACTTCAGCACACAAGGGCTGCTTTTGTGTCCACGCTTCAAGATAAACACAGTGACAACCGCGCACCACATAATCATATCTGCCTAGTGATGCAGAAAGGAAGCACTCAGCATATGATAAAGGCTTTTCTTTAATTCCCCATTTACTTTTCCTTTATTTGAATTTTTTGCTTCTAACCAGTTTGTCATAGCTCATGCCTTTCCCTCTCTCCCTCTCTCCCTCCTCTTTTCATCTTTTCCGTCTTTTCCATTTGCCACCAATGAGCAGCTAACTTTAACACACCTTAGCTGAGGTTACAATTCAAACCTGCCTCCACATTTCTACAGAGCGGGGAGGGTGATGGAGAGCTGTGAGGGAGAAGGAGGCAGAGAGAGAGAGAGAGAGAGAGATATGGGTATGAATTTTTCATCAGTGTACCATCAGAGGTTGAATAAAAACAACAGCACTTTTTTTTTTTCCCGAGCACAGCTCTAGATTTATTAGAGAAAAATAAACACAAGAAGAATGTTTTCATGCTCTTAACACTCTGTTAATACATTTTAAAATGATGATTCAGCTGAACAAAAGATATACCGCCAGGGCTGAAGGAGAATATGTTTGTGTTGTTTGTGCATAAATGCAATAAGACGTTCATGTGAGTTTACATCTGTTTTTCTGTCGATTAAAAGCTGGAGGTGTTTTGGAGGGGTGCGTGTTTGTCTTTGTGGAGTTTCTCTGCATGACAAAATGCGGCTCATGCATCTCGCTGTGAGTGTTGCATGCTGGGTGGAGTGTTGCAGGGGCATTAATAAGATAATGAAAAAGGTCGGGTTAGGGGTTATTTCACGGCTGAATGGTGAAGGTGCAAGTGTGGAGAATCTGCATAGTTACTTCTGATTTCAGCTCACCTTCTTATCTCAGGCAAGTGTGTCCTGTGCACTTATGGATCGTAGTACACACACACACGATACTGTATTATACATGCACTGCCTGATTCTGTTTGAACCCTGACCTTACAATGATAAAGCGAGTCTTTCTCAAAATGACCCCTTGTCACAAAAATGCCCCTGTATTCAGAACAAAACGAACAAGAAACAAAAGCAAATAAAATGCAGAGAAATCAAGTTGCTGATGACGTCGCTTTTTTCCAAATGACCAATCAAATGGAGTTAATCTCTCACAGTGAGCAGCGAGTGACTAGAAATAACTTGGAGAGGTACAAGATGCATTGCTGCAGTATTACAACCCTCCACATGATCTCTCATGAATAAAAATGTATGTAATGAAGTATTAATCACTAATTAATATTTGACTGTTTGGAGAGTCACTGTAAAATGCATTAACCAGCTTCATCAGAGTGTTATGGGAGTTGGACATTGTGCAACTTCATTTAATTTTCGCTTTCCCGTTAGGTGTTGGAGGTGGTACGATCCAACTATGACACACTGACCCTCAAACTGCAGGATGGTCTGGACCAGTTTGAGAGATACTCAGAGCAGCCCAAAGAGGCTGCTTTCTTCAAGGAGCTGGTAAGATAAACAACAGTGCATTGTGGGTGTTGAGGGTTTTATGTGGGCTACTAAGTCCCAAACTGATCCAGTCAGCCTCACACCTTTGGAGGACACTATTATTTACTTCTTTGAAAGGAGCATGTCAGTTCTTACCCAGATTTTATGTCCTTACACAACTGAAAGTGGTTGTGTTTGCTGCTGAAACGTGACACTGATCACTGCAGTTCACAGTAAACAAAGTCTCTTTGCAAAGCTGACAGCTTTGCAAAGAGACCCAGAGGAAAAGCTTCTTGTAATAGAAAGTGAGGAGAAATTAGCTTCTGAGTGTGAGTCCCTCTGGGTTAGTTAAAAAACACAACTGTCAAACTACAGTGTCTGTGCTACAAATTAAAGTTTTAAATTTTTGAAATTAAAATTTCACCTGTATTATTGATAGGATTTTCACCATTTTCAAAATTATTAAGCCCCTCATAAATTTTAGCAATAACGGTGAAGTGTAAGTGATCAAAACAGAAAACGGTAAACAGTGCTGTCACTTGAAACACATGGAAGCAAAAAATAGTAGATAGATAGATAGATACTTTATTTATCCCCTAGGGGAAATTCAGGTGTCCAGCAGCTCATTAGTAATAATATAATGATGATAATAATAATACTAATAATAATAATAATAATGATAATTAGATTAGTCCGGTGGTGATAGACACATTACCAGCTCTGTTATGTGCTGCTTCCTGTAAATTCAAAACATCTCCCAACGTGTTAAAATAAATGGTGTATCCTATGTAAAGGGATATTCCACCTGCCTTATGAAATGAAAATTAATAAAGAGGGGTCAAAATGGATGCAAACAGCATTGAACCTAACCTTAAAGATGAAGATCCTACACTTCCCATAATGCCCTTTATTGGTAAATGTCCACTCTGCCCTGCCTGTTTGTAGTACAGGTCGAACTGAAGCATCCAGAAGTCATCCTGAGGGTGATGTCACATTATACAACTCCTTTCCTAGGCTGAGTAGAACTCCTCATGGCCTGTAAACTGATCTGCATGTGTAAAAAGTGGTGTGCTCCTTTATTGATTTGTGGAAGTACAATTTCCTCAAGTTTATAGTGCTGTCTATGATTGTTGTTTAAACCAAAAGACAATAAAAGCAGAAAAAAGAAAAATGTTCAACATGTTTTAGTGGATGGTAAAAATTAAAACTGACAAAATATCCAGAATGAACTTTAATTTGAATGATGTATGATTTCTGGCACATGCACTGGTTGTTAGAGTTAGTGTGATGGGGCAAAAAAGCAGACTCGGTGTCAGAGGGTTTCTATTCATCCGCAGCTACATATGAATTAATTTGGGACTGCCTTTAAGGTGGTGAGCCCTCAACATGAGGTGGAGCAGATGTGGTGAGGTTGTAGCGACTGGAGTGGGATGTTAAACCTCAGCCTCTCATCTTGGACCTGTAATAAATGTCTGTCCGTCTGTCCTCAGGTGCGCTCCATCAGTCTGAATGTGAGGAAGAATGTCTCTTTGAACACACTGAGTCAGGACGTCCTGCTGAAAGAGTTCTCCACCATCTCCTGAGGGACACACATACGCACGCACGCACACACACACACACACACACACACACACACACACACACACCCAGCCTTCACCTCCCTTCAAATGGACATACACATTGTATTTTATGTGCGTGTGGACATGTACACATACTTACAAACACAAACCAGTGCAATCCTCAGTTATTCTTTCTATCAGTTGTCTTGATTTCTCATCCTCTGCCTCCTTTGAACTGAACAATGGGAACCCACAGAGACGGACACACTGACTGGCTGGATGCACCTTAAGGAAAAAACCTGAAAACTTACCAGACTTGCTTCTTTCGTGGTCGTTCGTGTGTGTGTCTTTAAGGAAGTGCCCGTATTGCACTGGTTCCTCGTGTGCAATCTGCAGTATTGGCTGGACTGTTAACTGACACATGAAAGTTTGGATTTAAGATAGTAAAACAAAGTATTTTTAACCCAGATCCTCATCTCGGCTGCCACAGTATATGATTTACGATTTATCTCTCCAGTAATTATTTCATAAGAATTTCGGCTTTGAGTGAAACATTATGTTCTTCCTAACAGCATTGGTAATGGTGATCCTGGGCCTTTTTGAGGTTGAGTCTTATTTTAAATCCTCTTGGATTAGAGCATTAACTTTTTATTTGCAGCTGAATGCTTGTTGTGTGAATGTTAACATAATTCTCTACATGTTCAAAACAAATTTACAAGTATTTTGTATTTACATGTTTGCTAAGGGGCAGAACGTGTACGAGTAACTGAGATGAGGATGCTCTGAACTGATTAAAAAACATTTCTATTGTTGTTGCAAACCTTTGTTTTTGAACAAAGCCATGATTAACATTCACTATTGTACCTCGCACAAGTCATTTCTGAATTAGCTTAACAAATGAATCTGAATGTGTTGAAGTGAGAGGCCAGTTTAGAGGGAAAGCTGTTCAGACAATGTTTAATCATTATGAGTTATAAACATGATCATTGCTGCTGTGTTTCTGGCTCATGACGAAAAAGATCCACACATCTTCTGTTTGAATTCTTTCTCATTCAGAATATTTGAAATTTTTTTTTTTTTGACTGGAAGCAAATTGAATTATGCAATTTCATCAAGTGTAGGGTCTTTTTCTTTTGTCTCTAATTCCTGTAGGTATATTTATGTTTCTTTTTTAAATAAAGTTTGGTTTCCTACTCTAGTACTGTTTCCTTATTGAACTATTTAGTCAAGAAACATTAAGAAAAACAACTTCTATCTATAACATCAAAATCATTTTTCTTCCATATTCTTTGTAAGCTTATCAACAGCTGTCGTCGACAGTCACACATCACACACACACACACACACACACACACACGCACAGTGTCCTCTGCTGACATTGTGGATCAAGTCTGACTCTGATACATTAGGTGTCAGTTGGAGGCTTGATTTTTTTTATCCCTACTCACTTGAGAAGTGAAAGATGACAAATGTTTTCAACTTGCATCATTTCTTTATTTCTTGTTCCCTGTCGAGCCGGTAAGAACTGTGACTTATAACTGGTGACCAAAAAAGTCAAGTAGCTTGCATTTGATTGTTTGAGCTGTGTTGTGTTCTGGTGAGCAAGATGTTTGCAGAATTGGTCCGCACACTAATGGCTAATGATTTTTGTCTTCACTGAAGCTATGACCACATCCAGTGTCAGGTACAGCCTGTATTTACACACACGATCTGGAGACCAAATACAATCAGTAATGTCATTAACATTTTCATCACACTTATTCAACAGAGAGATAAATAAGTACATTAAAGCTGCAACAATTTATTTTTTGGCCACTTGAGGGCTGTGAGCAATCTTTAAATGTAACACTAACATCACCTTCTACAGTTGCTGTGGTACATGTGGTACGTGCTAACAGTTGACTACTTAGACATACAACAGTCTTATCTCTGGTCACGTGGTGAACACAAGTGCAGTCTCCTTGTAGCTCTGCTTTGGTCTCCACTCCCAACTCCTGCGTGTGAAGATACTAAAACAGTGTAAGGCTGAGAGGAAGTGACGAGTGACCCCCCCCCCCCCCCCCCCTTTCACATTACACTGTCATTTGACCCATTGTTTGTATAAAAACACTGATCACAGGAGCTTTAAAATAGATATACTGTACATTAGAAGAAGTTGAAAAAATACATCAACCTAAATATCTTTATCCATATGTGACAACAGGAAACATCACATTCCAGCTCTCAGGCTGTTTGGAAACTGTGCTTGATTGACATGTCCGTTTTCTTGTTCTATCTGTCAGGGTTGGACAACTTGTTATAACAGGTGAATTGATTGTGATGACCTCATAATTATTATTTTTTTATAAGCATAGCATCAACCTGACCAGAGGTCTAACCAGACGATATCTGAAAACACGTGTGCGTGTACAGGCTCTTTCATTATTTGGGTGAGTAAGGGGAACAGGAAATATAAATGGTTCTATTTGACTTCCTATTTAATTCACATTGATATTATGACAAAATTGCAGCTTATATGTTTACTATTTGATAATGAAATATAGTGGTCATAATCATCTTTTTACACTCATAAAAAAACAAACAGTAATAAAGAAGTCTAGAAATCCATCCTGGAGGATTGAGGGTAAAACTGTTGAGGCTGCAAACATGAGGGATGAGATCAAATCGGTATTCTACCCCACACTTACTGCAAGTGCACCTTGACTAAATATTTGAATCAATAATTTCAAAATGTATCTGAGAAGTGAATAAATGGGAACTGTCAATGTCAGGTCATGGTTGCTGATAAGGTGATATCAGTCTGAGAAAGTGGAAACTATCCTGTTCCTCTCTTCTCTTGTCCTCCCCTAGACTTGCCGTTCCTCCATCTTTCACCCTCACCCCCTCATGTTGCGAAAGTAATTAGCCAATATCTCTGATCAACTTTGTCCTCCAGCTACTTCCTAATGATGTCTACACCCCCAGGCATGCACAAAAAAACACCAACCAAATCTTTTGCTCATCAGAAGTTGCTCAAAGTAATTTGATCTCTCTGATGGAGGGAAAATACAATCAGAGGTCAGAAAAGGGGGATGGAAAAAAAATGTGATGATGGCAATAAACTGAAACAGAGGTAAATAAAGATGGGCAGACAAAGAAGGAGAACGAGGAAATGGGTAATGAGAAATATGTGAAAATGTCAGGACACAAGGATGTGGAATGAAACTCAGAGACAAAGACTGATTTTTAACAGATCAGTGACAAGTGCACGACTAACAGTGGTAGCCACGTTTTCTGAGCAAATTTCTCTCGTATTTCTGGAAGCTATTTTCACATTAGGCAAAAAAAAACAAGTTCATCCTGAAAACATTCACAAATGTTTGGAGGGGGAGAAGATTCCTAAAAGGGGTTTAATTTTCCCAATGAAAGAAAGTCACTGGGTTTTAGTGGTAGATAAATGTGCATCGTCAGCATACAGCATTAATACACCTTGAGGAAGTGTGTGGATTACAGGTGGTTATGACAGTCCTTTGACTTCAAACTGAAAATGGCAATAGTCATCGTATACATTATCATTTCAGATGGTATTGTTGCAATCTATTGAACTTACACAACAATCTGACACACAGTAAAGGAGGGGTTTAATGCTCAACTGCCACTGGTCACTTTAAAAAAACAGCATGTAGCACTTTACTCTAAAATATGACCAGAATCATAATTGGCAAATTTAATGGAACTATTTCTTTTTCTTTGATGTTGGTTGAACTGCACTAAAAGAACAAAAGAGAAAATGCCAGTAGTTTTAGAAGCCATGATTGTCAATAAGAGAACTGTTGGATCAGATGGTTTACAAAATCAGATAGAAATGGAAAAGCAGCTGAGGTGTGGCCGCTGCAAAATGTTTGAACCTAAAATTAAACAGCATTGAAGAACTTGATTCTTTTGGGTAGAATTTAAAATAGAAGGGACGAGACACATGAGAGAGACAGTGTTGATGATAGAAAGAGAATTGTGATGTTCAACTCTGTGCAGTGGTGACACCAGTGTCCGGTTTTACTGCCCGACTAACAGAGCAGTCCAGCAGGTGTTTGCACAGAGAGATGACAGATGTGTATAAAAGAACAGACCACTGGCAGACATTTTTTCAAGGGTAATCAGATAAATGACTAATCCACCCCCATTCGTGACTTCTAGTAAAACTTCAATGTTCAGCAGTCGACCCTCAAGTCCTTGAATGAAGCCTCTCCTCACGTACTGGTTCATTCATTTGTTTTCGGTGGGTTACGAGATGCAGAGCCAACTGTTAATGAAGCAGCAGTGGGACCGTAAACATGAACGAGTTCCTCTGTCTTTGATTTTGTATTTCTCCATCTCTCACACACTGATGGGCTCCAATAGACGTACAAGATATCATGTTAGTGCCAAAACCCCGTTCCAGAGATGATAATATGCTTTTGTACAGCCTGGGAATAATGCTGTGGCATGGAAAGTGTATTGTAGTGTAGTGTAGTGTGTGTGTGTGTGGGTGTGTGTTCGCTTGCGTGCAATGCCTTTTTAATACAGTAGATCTCAATCCCCTGACATGAATCTATTCCAAATCCTCTAATTTTGTTGGCTATATTGTGTATCGGGCAGCATATTAACTCCCTGATATAATCTGTGCGACGTGTGTATTCATGTGTGTGTGCTGACGACAGACATAGACGCTGGGTATTTTACTGTGACAGCCCATTAATGCTGCTGTGTATTTGTAACGTTTCATTTAAGCATATCAACCTTCTCATCAAATATTCATTTGAGGGGAGATTGCCTACTTTGTCTCGGCTGAAGCCCCCCCCCCCATCCCTTCACCCCTTCATGTCTTTATCTGTGTGTCCTCGCCTGTGTCTGTGTCTGCAGAGAAAAAAAATGAAAATAGTAAATCAACTCAAACTGCCTCTTTCCAAACATGTAAGCAGGAACACACCTCCTGAGGACACGTGGCACAATTTTTGTGTCTTTTACTGAATATTATCTTCTGAGCAGCCAGCTCACCTGCCTGTGTATCCTTCGACTCTATCTGTGTGTGTGTGTGTGTGTGTGTGTGTGTGTGTGTGTGTTATTTGTCACCTGTATCATCATCGCTCCACACTGTGTATAACTTCGGGCATCAGTCAGAGCTCATTATTGGTTATCTGTCAGCTCCACTTTCCAGCCTCCAGCGATGCTGAACTTCTCTGTAAACCCCCGTGGGAGATAAACACCATCAATACGGCGAGATTTAACTGTCCCAAGGCACATAATATATTCAAATACCTCTCCACTGCGTTCCTTCTGTAATCTTCTATTTCTCTTTGAGTTTTTTCTTTTTCTGTCACTGAGTTGCTTCACTCTCGTCTTCAGCACTGCATCACTATCCCACTTTGATTTACTCTACCAGGACTCTTTTTGTGTCCTCTATCCTGCTCTTTCTCTAGTAGCCAATAGATTTTTTTCTCTCCTCCCCATCAATCTTTTGATGGGGAGACATAATAATCCCTCACCCATCTGCCCGTGTGTAAGGAAGCTTCCCCGCACTGTTGATACCCAACAAGCATTATTTAGCTTTTCTTGGCAAAAATGACTTCTCTTTTCTCCTATATGACAGTGAGAGGGTTTCATTTGAAGGTCAGCATAAAATAATACTCTTTGTGGCTGGTTTTACATTTCATTAGTCCTGGGTTGTATGGTAAACATTTCTTTTTGAAGGGATTTGTTATATTCACTGAATAATGATAATTTGAGTAGGATTTAAATGTGGGTTTTGAGCTGGGATTAAAGGGGCACTCCAACATTTTTACATGTCACAGTCATTTCTAAATCATGGGTAGGACCATGCAGCCTGCGACTCCACCACTTTGGTTCAGACTGAATCATCCCAACAACTGTTGGATGGATATTTATGGTCAACAGAGGATAGATCCTTCTGACTTTTGTGGTCTGTGAACTTTCATCTAGTGTCACCAGAAGATCCGAATCTTCTGAAATATCTCAACATCAGGCACAAAATGTTCTACATACATTTGTGGATCTCAAACAATCTAGGCAAATGACAAATCATTTATGCTCTGGAGCCACAATGAGGTTGACATTTGTGGCTTTGGATGAAATTGTCATGAAATCTGATACATGCAGCCACATACCTTGATTTACTTCAGGTTATTTCACCTTGTGGTTCTTCTGGGTTTTTCCATTTCACTGAAAACCTCATTTTCCTTTAGAAAGAAAGTCTTGAACCTGAGGAAGAAAGGCAGTCTTTCTAAACAGGAAAAGCTCTTAGAAATAAGTGCAACATCAAAGAGAAGACCTTGGGATGTGTTTGGCATCATGGCTGCATGAACCTACCCCATCGGTTTAGTGATGAGCATTGTTTGTTTGATCTTTGATTTCTATCCAAAGTAATTGCACATCACAAAGAGTTGAAGTGAAAGTAGAATGAGGCCACTGATTCCAAAATGTTCTCAAATAAAGAATTTAATATAGCCTATACACCAAAAAGCTACTCAGTTACTACTACTACTTTAAACCTTGATGATGTCTCAAAAGCATCACGTTAGTGCTTAAAACAGAAGCTCCTGATGGGAAACAAAGCCACTGAAATCTTAAAGTTTATCCCATAAATCAGCGCGTGGCTTCCCATGTCTCTGTCCAGCTTATGGTGTGTATTTATGGAGATATTATTCGAATTATTATTTTTTTTCTAATCAAAGCCTTGCTGCTTGCATTTTCTGAAAAATGAGTGAGTCATCCATTAACTATGCTCAACCAGCTCAAGGACATGGAGCTGACAAAGTATTGATCCACAGGTATTACTTCTTCCTACCCAGCCTAAGCTGAGCCAAGGTGAGACCATCCATCAGCAGAATCTGCACATACACACACACACACACACACACACACACACACACACACACACACACACACACACACACACACACACACTTATTTATACACACACATCCCTCTGTCTGTCTGTCTGTCTGTCTGTCTGTGCCACTCCCTCCCTCTCTTGCTCCATTACTCCCCTCAGCTATGATGCTCTCTCTCTCTCTCTCTCTCTCTCTCTCTCTCTCTCTCTGTCATCGTCTCACAGCTAGGACAGATGCAGATGTTCCCGCTGATGTTTAGGACGACCAGCGCAGTAAAGTCAGCAGCTGTGACTGTATATCATTATTACATTTGACCCCTCAGAAAGTAATCTGTGGATGCGAGCGCGCGCTGATGCTGAGCGGGAGGTTCAGTTTGGAGAGAGGCGAACACCACACACACACACACACACACACACACACACACACACACACACACACACACGGACTCTTCCTTCCACTCAGGCTGATGCTTGAAGACAAAGTGACATGCAGGCGGGAGTGAAGGCGCAGGAGTCGTAGATGAGCCGCGCGCACAGATCCTGCAGGTCCAGCTCGGTGGTCTGGTAAGAAGTGAGAAAACATGAAGTCCAGGAGTCAGGACCAGAGTTTGTCAGACTCCAGAGAGCTGGACAGATCTTACGACCCACTGACAGGTAGGTGGAAGCTCTTCATCATGCACCTGCTGTTATTCTTTCTTTCTTTTTTAAGTGTGGGAAACTGAGCTGCTGTTTGCTGGCCTGGCTTCACTCTCCAGTTGCTTTGCGCTGCTGAAAGTTTGCGTTGGCTTTCCGGCTGGTTGATAAGTAAATAGTGTTTCACTCTGGGACTTGGGGCGGTTTTTAAATCCCCACAACCCTGTTTCCTCAGCTGCTGTGAACCAGCTCAAATCTCTCGGCTGTATTTTATTATTACACAATAGCCTATTTAAAATGGCAGGTAAGTGTAAGTGTAAGTGTAAGTGTAAGGGGAGAACAGGTTTATATCTAATTCAACATTCACTCAGTGTGTGTGAATGTGGACGCTCAACACTACAGCTGATCCAAACAGCAGCATTATTTGCTGTTTCTAAGTGATTTAGAGCCTGACTCCACATCATTGCCTTAGCCTGCAAACTGTTTTAAATAAGAATATGTGCAAACAGACCTAAAACATGCAGGTTACAATAATCAGTAATTGTTTGGAAATGAGTAAAAAAAAAAAAAAATACAAAAAGAAGAAACTCTGTAAGATGAGTTAGATTCATAGGACAGAGCAGTGAAAACATGTCAAATTAATAGCCACATAAAGGACTAAATGTTTGAATGACACTGAATGTGATGTGAATCTCTATGTAGACCAGTGCCAATTAATCAATTAGTTGCTCACAGAAAATCATTTAGCAACAATAATATTAAATTGTTTAAAAATCCAAACAATTTCTGATGATCTGAGGCTTTTTCTGTCATTGTAAATTGAATATCTTTGGGTCTTGAACTCGTGATGTGAAGATGTCACCTTGGGCTCTGCAAACTGTCATGGACATTTTATAGACAGTAAGTAAGTGAGTAACAGATTGGTTGTAAAAGAATTCAAAAGTTTGATGAAAATAATCAATAGCTGGAGCCCTAAATAAGATATTAATAATATTAATGTTGGTCGTATATATGTGTTTGTTTCCATCCGGTCAGCTCTGAAAAATGCAAATGACCAAATGAACTCAAATGAAGGGAAAAAGAACGACTCATTTGCTCATGACTCTGCTGTTATCAACATGGGGAGAGATCAAATAAGTACACTAGTTAGGCCTGAAGAGGCGTGGACAGAGAAGAAAACATAAGATGAGTCTCGTTCATCTCTTGTCATCTAAAATTATACCTGTCAGAGTGTGTTTATAGTCCAGTTAGATCAGTGAGGCTCCTCTTCGTCACAGTTTTTCAGTGTCTTATTTTCCTCTTGAGTGCTTGCAAAGACAAGCCTCTTTAGTACACACATCACACACACATCACACACACACACACACACACACACACACACACACACACACACACACACACACACACACACACTGTCATTTTTGTGACAACTTCCAGAAATGGTCTTTTCCTTTAAAACAGAACTAAGTATATGTATAAAAATGACCCCTCTAATATTTTTTGAAGTGCTGTATTTTAAATGGATGGATGGACAGATGGGTACAGAAGGTTTATTTAATGGCTGATTGTTGCTGGTGCAATAGTCAGTGTGGTGCCCATTCAGCAGCAGGTTGAACAAACAGTGAACAGGTGCACGAACACAGAGACACAAACAAACCTTTTTATTAAAGAGTGAAGCACAGCGGCGGCGTGGTGTTCAACAGCCTGAGGCATAAAAACTGAGTAACCACAGCCTGTCCAACTCTATCGTACCTGTCTAACAAACACCCAACAGTTCTGTCACACATACTGATGAAGGAGCCAACAACCGATGCTTGTGGATAGAGTCTGTTAGTCTGTATCTAAAACGTTCCAACTAAAAAGTGTATGTTTTTCTATATGTTCCCGAGCTCGACTGTAACGTTGCAGAAAACCTCATGTTGTTTACGCCTGTGGTCATACATTATAGATACTGGATGTTTGTCCAGTCATCATTTTCCACACTGCACTTCACATGTTACACTGAGCCTGACTGACTGCTGCGCTGGTGCAGGTTAGGGTCATCCAGTGCTGGACAGTTATAAGTACATTTACTCAAGTACTGCACTGAAGTACACCTTTGAGGTACTTGAGTATTTCCATTTTTTGTTACTTTGTACTTCCACTCCACTACATTTATTTAACACTTTTAGTTACTAGTTACTTTTAAGATGAATGTTTTACACAATGGATAGTGCAACAAGCTTTTAAAATACAACACATAGTTATAGATTAAACCAGCGGTTTCCAACCTTTTTGGCTTCTGACGTCTTACAAAAAGCAATGTGTAGTTGGGGTCACAGTTTCGATGTCTATGAGTTGTTAGCAGCTCCACCAAATAGTGATTTTTGCCCCTAAACTCACATTGTTTCATTTCAATAAATGTTCAAATGATCCAATATCTCATCAATATCAAAACTTAGAGAAAAAGTCCAAAAACTGAAAACAGGTTTACGGATCAGAACTTTCCTTTTCCATTAAACATCTCACGACCCCTCACATCGATCTGGTGTCCCTGTAAATAAAACTAGTAGTTCGAACTAGCTCCATCTCCAGCAGCTACAACAGTAACATGCTGCTCATACACTGATGCTTCAGTATTAATCATAATGATGTCATATATAATAACATGTTAGTCAGGGAGACCAAACCAGTTCATTAATACTTAAATTACATTTTGCTTCTAAAACGTATGTCATTTCCATGCAGGACCTTTCCTTGACATAGAGCAGCTTTTTTTAGATTGATGTGTTTTGTCCTGGGTGTCATGGAGATAAACTTTCTTTATATTTTTATAGGAATAGTTAGCATTTTGGGAAATGCGCTTATTTGTTTTCTTGTCGCGAAGATTGATAACACCATTGTAGCTTTAGGGTAAATACGAAGCTACCATGATCAATCAGTTAGCTTAGCTTAGCTTAGCATAAAGACTGGAAACAAGGAGCCTGGCTCCATGTGGGGTATAGAGGGGAAGGCTGGTGGATTTTTTTACTGTTTCCCTGTTTCCTAAGCCAGTTAGCTAAGCTAAGCTAAGCTAAGTGGGTGCACAGTGACACCATAGTTTCATACACAGACTTATGAGTGGTATGAATATGTTTATTTCCAAAAGCCATTCATTTAAGATTCAGATTTTTTTGTACAAATTTGGGGTTCAGAATTGAATCTCATGGGATTTCCAGACAGATACTGTCTTCATTATTGTGACCAGCTCCACTTTTACAGTATACATACTCTGTTATAAGTAATCCATTCAAAGAAGAAAGAGAACATAAGTATTAGTATCAAAGTAAACTCAATGTACCAAAAGTAAAAATACTCAGAATTTCAGAATCATATATGTTATGTTATATAACATATTAATGTGTAAGAATTACTCTAATGCAGCTGGTAAAGATGAGGCTAATTGTAAATTCTTTACCGCTCTGTTGCTTAAAACAAATTCATGATTACATTTTGAATTAATAATATAAAAGTAAGTAAAAATACAATCTTGCCTTCTGAACTTACCTCAGAACTCTAGTACAGGACTTGAGTAAATGTACTTTCCACCACTGATCATAATTTATTAATCAACTAATCATTTCAGTTTGTGTTTAGACGAATGTCACGCATGTGATATTACAGTTTGTTTCCATCACAGGAAAGGTTGTAACACTTTCATACGTCATGGCACTTTTATACAGTGCTCAAGGGGTTTTTCCTAAATCCATCATAATATCAGTAGTGAGAACATGAATATTAGTTTTATATAACATACTTATATAGCTTATTTCAAAATAAAATCCCGCCAGACTTAAATAGTTTTCATGTTGAAGGTGCCAAATGGAAATGGCTTTAGTCTGGACTGATGAATCGTGTTGTATTAAGATCAATGTTGTGTAACAAAAATCAAAGCTGATCCTGCGTAACTCATGAGGTGACGTCTGTCTCTGTGTGAGGACACGGGAGGTAAACGGCACAGATATAAACCTCTCCAACAATCACCGCAGAGCTCATGATGTCAGCAGGAGGAAAAAGAGAGTGTAACTTTAAATATGTTTGTGTGTGTGTGTGTGTGTGTGTGTGTGTGTGTGTGTGTGTGTCTATGGTTGTATAAAATGGACATCTATAATCTGACCCATGTCCTTCTGAAGGATTAGGATGAGTACAGAGGCTTGTTTCCTTAGCAACATTAATTTACAAACATTAATTTAGCGCTGCATGACCCTCCTTAAGCTGCTGTGACCTCCCAGAGTAAAAGCAAACTGCTGCCAGAGAACTGGAATTAGCAGCAACTATCTTGACTGCCCTCAGAACGAACTGAGATGCAGTGATTTAGGCTTTGACATGTGCTGAAGGAGTTTGCCCCTTAATAAATACTTATAAATACTTTATACTTGTGATCATCCTGTTTCTCCTTATGCATTCTTCCAGTGGCTCCTCCACAGTTTAGGTATACTTTCATCACCAGTAGCTAACAGAGTCTTTAAACGTGTTAGCAACAGCAGGGACGAGCGTATTGATCTGCCTTCGAGGGCTGCATTTGTTCACATTGATTCACACAGTCAAACTCAGCCAGAGGGGTCTCCGGGAGGATAGGCTGCTGGAGAGTCTCGGCAGCTCCTGAATAACTGTTGAGTCAGTCAGACCCCCGCAGATGTGCACTGTTCATTTTGCGCTGTGGGTCAGTTAAAAGGTTTCGTTTTCAACTTATTTTTTTTTATCATTAGGTCATCCTGGAAACAGGAAGTGCCTGTAGAGAGGTTAATTAAACAAGCATGTTTCATTTACTCGCACTGTGACATCACGAGCAGCGTGAACAAAATCCTGACACGCTGAGAGTGAGTGGCGTATATTTCTACACCCCGTCCTGCTGGTGTTTCTGATTTTATGTAACGCCTCAGCTGAGCTAGACGTTTATAAACTGCGTTGTCTCTACGAAGAACAACCTCTCACTCTGTCTTTAACGGATTTCTGTGTGAACAAGTCACATCAAACAGCTGCTCCTAGAAAACATTTCAGTAAAGTCACGTCTAAAAATGACAGCTGGAAAGAAATAAAACATCAGGGAAGGTTTTTTTTTCTTCTCTCTGTGTTTCTCTGCAAAATGGTTCTCCAGTTTTTGTTATTTATTCTTTTTTATACAATTTTAGCCGCCTGCATCAAAAGGCTGAGGTGTTTTTGTGTTGCCTGTGTATGTGTGGAGCCCCTACAAAGCTTTGTTTGCTTTTCCATTGCTGTGCAGCTGCTGTTTGATAGTAGATAGTTTGATTGACATCCTCAATATCCACTGACAAATATGCCCATGATAAGTAAACGTGCACACACATGCACCATGACCCTGGACCGACACAGGTTTTCTCTCTGCAGAGCGGCGACAGTGGAGGTGTGTAATCACTTCTGCTGTTAAAACTTCCAACAGCTTTCTGGTTTAGTGTCCTACAAGTCGCTTCCTGCCTGTTTATGTGTTTATCTTTCCTCTCGGCTGGAGACTTCACTCAGTGTAGTTCAATCTGACTGTAGTTCAACACTGTCCTCTGGTGGCAGGAAGGACACATGAACATCTGGAAAAACCTCTCCTGCTGGAAAAAGGGGGATTACATGCAGCCTCTTTGAAGGAACAGCTGTTGTAGATGCATCCTTGTGATTAGCAGAACGATAACAAGAGTGAAGAGAGAAGTTGACATTAATCATCTCTACCTTGCAGAGATGAGAGTAAGTCACACACGTGCAAGTCTCCTGAGTTACTTTGGTGAGAATCAAACAAGTCAAGTTGAGTCCCTGCTGCAGGTCGAGCAAGTCACAAGTCATATGAAGTTCTGATGATCAGCCCCAGTTTCCACATTTAAATCAGTTAAAAGAAAAGTTTAATTTTACTTTCAACATTAACGAAAACTGTCACAGCTGCTCACACCTTAAAAATCTTACTGATATTTGGCATTTTGTGGCCATGTACAGTCTGGACCTGTGACTGCAGTCACCCACTGCTACAATTATTATTATTACTCTTATTATTATTATTATTATTATTATTATTATTATTACTACCTCTGCCAAGGAGGTTATATTTTCACCTGTCTATTTATTTGTCAGCAAAAGTACTGAACTGATGTGCACCGAGCTTGGTGGAGGGGTGGGAGATGGGAGGGAGGAAGAATCCACTAAATTTTGGGTCAGATCCTGTTCAAGGGGCGTATCCAGGAATGTTTTAATCACTTTCCTTAAAGTGTGGTTGTTTGGCCTTGGCAAAAGTATGTGCCGTACTGAGTGCCATTCTGGTTATACCTATTAAAAGACATCTCTGTCCAAATTTGAGTATTTTTGGACTTTTGGAGGAGCTGGTTTGTAGGCATGGCAATAGAAATCACCCAATCATGTTTCAAAAGCAACATGTAACTCATCTGACAAATATCTAGAAAAATGCAAATATTTAGTAACAAAAAGGTCAAGTCCTTCGGAGTCATCTGTCTCTGTCTCTGACGTATCAGAGACCCTGAAACAGAACTCAAAGAAAACATCAGGCGAAGCCTCAGAATAGACGAGGGAAAGGATGAAGGAGATGTTTGTGTTTTCCTGTAGCAGGTGTGTGTCAGCCCTCTGCTGAGGGGAGGAGAGGAGGCGGGATGGCGAAGGGAAAGCCTGTTTCTGTTTTGTTGGATCGTCAGCTGGGTGAGGATGGGAAGACAGATTGCAATCCATCATAAGATCATAAGACATGCAGCTTTGGATCAAGTTATCAAGTCAAGGTCTAGAGGACGCAACTCTGGATTTAAAAATTGAGGAGGGACGGAAGAGAAAAAGAACAGCAAAGGAGCATCAGAGCTCAACGTCACACAGAAAACTGATCTCAGAGCAGAATGAACAGAGACAATCCTGAAACACATTCAGCATGAACCAGAGAAGAAGGAGGCATGAGAGCCTGCTGATGATGGCCGGACATGGCACTGTCAGGTTAGAGGGAAGAGTGAACGAGAGAAACATGCTGCAGATGAAGGACAGGATGTTTTTCCTGTTGTTCGTTTCCTGTCAGATCATCCTGCTCCACGAAGCCAGCAAAGATATTCGACTGATCAAATGTCTGAGATTATTATTCAAAGAGTGACAAGTTATGTATAATGTATGATATTTACTGGCTGAAGGTTTGAATCTTCTGTCAGATAAATAATTGAGAGATAACATGTTAATTAATTAATAATTGATAGCTTGGGAGTCCTAGTGTGTCTCTGTTGAATATGACTTCATTCCAGTGGTACTCTGCCACACATAGTTAGTGTCATGGTTATTAAAATCACACACACACACACACACACACACACACACACACACACACACACACACAAATCATGTGATTTAACAACAAACTAAACTAAACATGTTTCACATCAAGAGGTCTGCTGGTTAAATCAAGGATAAAAAAACAATCATTTCTTTCCATATTGAATCTGAAAACAAAGTCCTTGAAACCTTAATAATGTCAGAGATTTATATAATGACTGTTTGTCCTCAGTGTCTCAGCTCAGACTGCTTCAGTCCTGTGTCATTTCAGTCAGCGCTCGCACGCTGATGCTCTCCAAACAGCTTTGATCTGATGGGTCACACTGGTTCAAAGCCAGGTCAGCAAACTAATTTGCGTGCACCAAGTTGCATGGGCAAGAGATTCAAAGTATTTGCTTCGAGTTTGGCTCATGTTTTATCCATTTAACATGGTGTCCACTCTGTCTGCCTCTAATCTTTGCTGTGATTGGTTGTTTCCAGGTAATCCTCCATCCAAACCCAATAAAAAGACCATAAAGCAGCGCTTCCTCAAACTGCTCCCCTGCTGTCGCTCTGGCTCCAGCCCTTCAATTAATCAAAGCAAGTGTCACGACACACACTCATCATCACTCAGATTCCCCTCATATGAACTGAGTCGCTAAGTCACAAGAACACTAGATCCTTTAACACATCAACTTCATTTTTGCCACGACGTTCTCTGGACATGGCCCTTCTTCTGTATCTCAGGGACTAACTGCTTCATTCCTCCCTCTGTCCCTCCATGCAGGAAGTATAACCGATGAGGATGAACTGTCAACGGTGTGTTACAGACCGGAGGGGATCGACCGTCTCGTACAGCAGACCAACTTCAGCAAGAAAGAGCTGCAGGTCCTTTACCGAGGATTCAAAAATGTCAGTCAGCACTTGTGTGACCATTTATATGAATGTGCCACATCTGAATACTATAGATTTTGTGTCTGTGGATCTTTATTACGTATGTGTTTGTTTCGTGTGTATGTTTTTGTTGTTGTTGTTGTTGTTGTTGTTGACACGAGAGCTTTCTGATTTCCACAGGAGTGTCCCAGCGGTGTGGTGAATGAGGAGACATTTAAAAACATCTACTCCCAATTCTTCCCTCAGGGAGGTCAGTCAGACTCACTTCCTTTCATCTGCCCCCCCCCCCCAACAAAAAGCTCTATGATCAAAAAGCAAGATCTGTATCTTCCACCTTCATTGTGATTGATCCCAGAGACTCAGAAGGGTGGTCATGTGTTGTGACCACAGGTTGAGAGTTGCACCGGATAATAACGCCGTTTCAGTTCGTACTCGCTACTTTAAGCTTTGCTCACTGTAAAAAATCACATGTAGCCTTTGCTTGGGCTGAAAATCCGTAGGGTCAAAGAAAGCACAGACAAGATTTGAACTTCAAAGCCAGTGTATTTTGTACCCCATGTAGAAAAATTTCTCAGTTGTACAAAAATTTTGACCGTATCAAAATGTGGAAAAAAAAACTACATCTGAAAGCAGAGCCAAACTTTAAACCTCTAACTTAAATGCGTATGTGCGTTTGTCACTTCACTGTCATTCTCACTGTGGGAACTTTGTGTGCTGAGTTTCACACAGTTTTTGTTGTTTTTTTTTTGTTTATATAATTTGTGCATATATTTTCCTACAACTACAAATCTAGAAATTCACTAACATGAATATTTCAGGTTGATGAAAGAATGATATAAAACCAGAAACTCAATATTGACTCTTGGAGCACACAAACACCTGCAGGACATATGAGTGTGTGTGATGCACAGTCTCTATATCATGTTCTGATTTTACTGCACTCAGGACTAATAGTTTTGTCCCTCTTCTCGTCAGCTTGGGCAAAAATCAAGCAAGTGTGCTGACCACACAGAAACACTGAGATATTTGTTTCTCTTCCTGTCAGATTCAAGCATGTATGCACATTTCCTCTTCGAAGCCTTTGACACCCAAAACAACGGAGCGGTCAGCTTTGAGGTGAGAACCGCACCACATGACCACCCAGCCTGGGTTTGAAACAGCAACAGTACTAACACCTAATGTGGTATATATCTGTAAATATACAGTATTCTGCTTCTCTCGTTTACTGTTACCTGTTTGTATCGTTTGCATTCTTCGCTTCTGACTCCCTCCCACTGGTGTTAATATCACTTTCTTAATCTGAGTCATGAGTAAATCATCTCTTCCCTGCTGTAGGACTTCGTCATAAGTCTGTCCATCATCTTGAGAGGGTCCATCACGGATAAACTCAACTGGGCCTTCAATCTGTACGATCTCAACAAGGACGGCTGCATCACCAGAGAGGTACCGCTTCCTGTTTGTGTGAACTGTCTTGTGTCACGTTGTCAGCTCATGTTTTTTTATGCCTCTGCGCCGGCGACAGTCAGGGCCGGAGGCATTATGCTTTCGGGTTGTCCGTCCGTCTGTTGCATTCTCGCTAACGCCTTGAGGGAATTTCTCCAAATTTGGCACATACATTCACTTGGACTCAAGGATGAAGTGATTACGTTTTGGTGGTCAAAGGTCATGGTCACTGTGACCTCACAAACCTGACCGCCGCCATAACTCACAAATTCATACACTAATTATGACATAATTTAATACAAATGTTTAATAGGATAATATGATGAAGTCATGAAATTTTATATCCAAATGGTCAAAGGTCAACTTTACTGTGACATCATAATGTTCTGCAAAAACATGCTGTAACTGAGGAAGGGGAGATTGTGACCATACTTCCTGCCACTTGGCTGGTTGGCGGAGGCCTGCATCCGTAAGGTGGTCATTCTAGTGCTTATTTCTTTTCCTCCCTCCTTTTTGTCCAGGAGATGACAGACATTATGCACTCCATCTATGACATGATGGGGAAATATACCTACCCCAGCATGAAGGACAGCGCTCCCAAGGATCATGTTGAGAGCTTCTTCCAGGTAAAACTCACAAATGAGCAAACCAATACACTCCACATCTCCAGCACTCAACTCAAAGTGATTCAAAGAATTTGATCAAAGAAATGATCCATGCAGGCTTGATCGATTTACTTTTGCAATGTTTCACTTGACATTTGCTTTAGAATGTGTGCTAACTCTAAATTGTGTGCTTACATGTGTACATATTACATATGTATTTTAATACCGCTCATAAAGTGCAGGTTCACTGTCTTTTGTGTACTATTCGTCTGCATGTGCTGTAGATAGAAAATAAACACCTAAACACTGTTGTTTGGGCTACTTAAAGGTACTTCATTGAGTTTATGACCACTAACACAATGGAACAATGTTTTTAGGAGCAGGTCCCTAATTGATTTGAATCTCTTGTAGCTGCTAGTGAAAAAATATGAAAGTAAACAATGGAAGTTTCACAACACTTCAGAGTTGGCTTTATAGATGTCTTCTGGTAAAGAAAATGCATTCAGCACACTTGTTAGGCCTCAAGTATAAACAGTATGTTTTGGTGAGAACGTAAACACACATTTCTTTGTTTACAAGAAAACTCCACATGGCACCTTTAAGTTCCCCTTTGGAAAATCAGTGATTATCTGTTGCCTTTTCCCAGAAAATGGACAGGAACAATGACGGCGTGGTCACCATTGAGGAGTTCCTGGAGACATGCCAAAAGGTCATTTGAAACTGAGTTATATCAACAATATTTCAAATACACATTTAATGATGTTTAAATGAAATGGAAACGGCACTTCCATCCACAGCTATTAAAATAATATTAAGCTTGTTACTCTTTGTTCCTCTTGTCCAGGATGAAAACATCATGCAGTCCATGCACATGTTTGATAATGTGATATAAAGCTCGTCGGGCGCAGACAGGAGATTTCCCGCCTGATTGGAGCTTCCCTGTTGTACGGTTCTTCAGCCCCCAGCCAGAGTGGGTGGTGTCTGTAGGCCTGTACAGAGCGGTGACCAGAGGATATATAGTGTACCAAACCACCTTTTCCTAAATTATATCAATGAACAGATTGAATGACTCGACTCACGTGAAAAGGACTTTTAGAATTTTTTTTTTTTTTTATAGTAAATAAAGGCACTGAAAGGTGGATTCTGGTGTTTTAAGCTTTTGATTGATGTTTAAGAGCAGCTTGAAGAACAGCTCAATATCAATAAGCATCAGTGAACTGATGCATCAAGAAAACAGCAGATATGCAACTGCAGTTTCAACATCCTACGACTTTTTCACTCATACAAATGATGATTATTTCTTTATTGCATGTATGATACACATGAGAGGGAGAGAGAGAGAGAGAGAGACTGAACGAGCAACACATGGAGCCAATGGAATAACGCGTTGTAGAGTATCACACACTTTCTATACTCACAGTGACACTACAGTAAGGGACAACTCTAATTATGGGAAGTCTACATTTTAGCAATAATCTTAAAGTAACATGTTGCAATCAAATCGTCTCCTCAGTGTTCTTATGGAGCTCACCTCACCTTTATTATACCACTGTATATTGTGTCTGCATGATGTGTCTGTTTTGACTGGCCATTGAAATGTTTAATTAAAGTGTGGCTATATTTTCTATATTGACATGGTAACAACGATGATGAAATTGAATAAAACCACAAAGTTGCTATGCAAAAGTGCATTAATTTATATATTAATGACTTTTTTCTTGTTTTGGATTTTTCAGCCACAGGTTCAGAGGCCATCCTCAGCATTTATATGTTTTTTTCTTTTTTGAGAAATGCAATGAACATTTTTGCTTGTGTGCAGCGCCACAGGCAATTTTTTATCTCTATGTTCATACCAGACATCAGAGCTGCAGTAGGATGGGAGGGAGGATTTTCTCCCTGCTTGTTTCTCCCCATCAAGGTTTTCATGACTAATTCATACTAATGAGAACAGCATGAACAATCTCCTTATTCAGCCTCAAACATGTCAGATTCCTGTCAACTCCTTATGTTGGGTTGACCTGCTACAAACATTTGGTGGATGAATATAGAAATGTCAGCAACTGACACATAAGTTTTTTTCTTATTTAATGCCACAGAGTCACAGAGGCAGTACAGAGAGAGACGAGCTGGGGGACATAATGATGCTTTGAACTGAGTTTTAGATAGTCTACTATGAGAGAAAAAGCGAAGACACTCATCTGTCTTTTTGATGGAGCAGAAAAACAACAAAAGAAAGAGCACTCCTGTCAACTAACAAAGTGGTTAGTGAGTGGCAGCCGTTAAAGAAGCTCCAAGACACACATCTGAAAACTGGAAAAATGTAAAAAAGACAGAAAGTGACTGAGTCTCCACAAAAGTAAGAGAGATGGAAAGAATTTGACAAGTGGCAGAGGGAGAAACTGAGCTAAAGTTAATAACATTAACAAAATATCTCAAGCTATCCATCAGTCACTAAAATCTGCCCCGTTCAAGCTGCAACACTGAAAAAAGTCTGGTGAAAGCGACAGGACGGGGCAGTAAACTGCACCTGTTGTAGGTGAACTGTACTCTCTCATAGCTTGTAAGATGTGTTTACTACATTAAGGTTTCATATTACAGAGCATTATAGCAGCATGATTTTCACAGAGGAAGTAAACAATTTATTTCTTTGGTTAAAATTCAATAGGTGGTTTAACCACATCACTTCTATGGGATTTATGAACCAGTAACATTTTCATATGGATATATTTGTAGGTTTATTTTTAATTCTTTTTAATCAGCCCCTTTGATGTTCACCTCAGGAAAGAATGAAGCAACTGGTCCTTGTATGAATGAATCCGACTATGTTACAGTAAAGCTGGATGGTGAACAGACCACACTAGTCTTGTTATTATTATCTGAAACACCAAACATATAAAAACGTAAAACTCTCTTTATGGGTATAATAACTGCTTCCACAATCACTGCAATGGATTTATCGTGTTATCAGACACCCTCACTGCTGTGCACAAACCTGAAAATAATGTTTCCAAAATAAACCTATTTGTTACAGTCACCTTTAAAAGGAAGCTTTTTAAATTTTACAAAAAAAAAAAAAAAAAAGCCAAATGAGTACAGTAAAGTTACAGAGGCACAAACATGGTAGAAATATAGATTTTTGTGTTTTTTTTGGCATGAAAAAAAAAAAAGACTATGAAGGCCTGTACCGGAATCATTGGGTGTGGAAAACAGCCACAAGTCTTGAGTCACACCTGTCGCAGTGATGTAGGGATCCTAAAAATGCTGCACACATGGAAACATGAGACTTCAAGCTTTAAAACAATGTACAATTTGTCAAGGTTGTATGAAGACTGAGTCTGACACAGACCTAGTAGGACTAGCACGGCCAGAGAAGTGGATTTAAAAAGGTTAAAAACAGGTAGATAAATAAACATGGACACCATAATATGTTTAATATATCCTTTATCTTTATTAAACAAATTTCAGTAAAAACTCTTATTAAGTAGAAAGACAAATTTCCCTGTCAGTAGTTTGCTCTAGCTGTAGGGCCGTCCCCAACTACATCATCTCGTGTGTTGACTAATGACTTAGTCAATCTGTTGAACAACTCTGTAAAACTGCTTTACCCACACTGTTGTTTTCCTGCAAATTACTATAGTCACATACGATTTTTCTCTCGAAGCTCAGTTTTCTAATCAAAGGAATCTGTTAATATCCTGGTAATGTCAGGTAATGTGAACCTTTCCCAGTGAATAACTTAGAAAAGATGAGAAACAGTTCATAAAAATAAACAAACAACCATCTTGTTCACCTACACTCCTAATAATCCACGTCAGCTGATTCCATAAGAGTCGGGGGGGGGGGGCCCTACACTTCTCTCTCAAAGGTCTGTCAAAGACCTCCACATCTCTCCGTTTGTTCGCTCCTACTGAATTAGTGCCGAGAGGAAGAACGAGTCCGTGTTAACTAACTCTTCACCGACTCTTGGGTCACAGCGGGAGAAACTTGACGGTATATAGTGTCAAAACTACAGCATAGACAGCAGTGTCTGTTACAAAGGCGTTAAGAAAGAGCGAGCGGTGAGCAGGTGCACCGTGCACGTTGAGCCACCTCTGGCAGTGTTTTCAACTATTATTCTCTTTTTTTTGTTTCTTTTTCTTAAAAAAAAAAAAAAAAAAAAAAAAAAGAAAAGAAGGAAGCTACACGATTATCATCACAAAATAAAATCTCTTTGGCATAGAATACCCACCCAAAAGCACAAACACACACACACATACTCACATGCACACACTCTTAGAAGGTTCTCTAACAGAAACCTACAAGCATCATCATTGTCATAATTATAATCAGTAAAATTAGGCTATAAAACAAAGTTGAGCCCTGTTAAGATTATGAGTCCTGTACTCGGTGATAATTGCATATATTACATCAGGCTGAGAGCAGAGGGAATAATCTCCACAGACGACTGTATGCTCTTCTTCTTTGTCCCATTAGGCATCACTACAGCGCCTCTGCCTCCTCTTCTCTTCCTCTTCTGGGTCTATAAGAGGAGGACAAAGACATAATGACCAAAAGAAGAATGGGATGAGAGTCACTTGGACCATCTGCATTTCGCATGATGGCATTGACATAAATGTAATAATAAACATATTGGTCAAAAATGTCAAAGTAAAAACCAAAATTATTGTAGGTTAAAAGAAGTTTATTTCAAAATTGTACATAAAATATCCGCAGTGAATCCCATCAGCCATTGTCCTGCTGTTTTAGTGGTCCACGCTGATGAAACAACTGTACATTTACTTGAATTTTCCCTTTTATTTTTACTTATTATATTAAAATCCATTTCAATACATTTACTTTTTGGGCTTATTTGTCTTTCACCTCATTCATTTATTTAATCTATTATATTTTATTTTATAATTAGACTGTTGAATGTGTGTTCAGTACCTGGTGTGCAACACACCCTTAATTGTTGAATAAAATGTAAATTAAGAAAAAAACAAGAACAACAAGAACAACAAAACGACCAAATGACAAGGGTCGTTTGTATGTTTCCAGGCCACTGTCAGTCAAATCTTATCAAACCCACTCAATCCAGTTGAGTGTTGAACACAATAATTAATACTGACAGGTGTTTTTGTTTTTACTTAAATGGCCTCTCATCTTCTCATCAATATTTCATGTTGTCAAGAACAAAAAAGAAGAAACAAAGATTTCAGGGGCTTTAAATTGTAACAACATATCTTGATTTTCTGACTTACTAACCTTTAATAAGGGAACTGTTGTCTGTCGTAGGTCATTGCGTAATCATCATGCATCAAATTTCCATCAACGACGTCCAAGGGCATATCACCTGCATATGCTCCGTATCCTTGGAAACCAACATCCAGCTCTGCAAGAGATTACGACATTATTTCGTTGTTTTGACTAGTTAAACACCGGACCAATAGATCATGTGTTATTTAGCTTCCCTTTGTCTCTAAGGGTTTATTTGCTGCTGTTGTCATGATAGCGGCAACCACAGAGCAGAAAACTGAACAAACTAGTGGAAATCATTAACATTTTCCACATTTTAGGCACATTTTTGGAACATTGTGATCACTGATCCCTTTCCTCTCCTAGTCTTGCTGCTCAGAGTAGGAGACAGAAAATAACAATGCCATAAAAGGAGAAAAGTCAAGAGAAGGAAAGAATGGGAATTAAGACAAAGATGAAAACACAGATAAGGAAACACCAGGATGGAGGTTGATGGAAAGAAGACCTTTTAGACAGACTTAACAATGAGGAATAGGTAAAGATGTACTGAGAGAAAAAAAGACTGAAGCATTAAGGATAAAGGAAAGTCAAAGGCTGAAGTGAATGAGAGAAGAAGCAGGCGATGTAGTAAAGTATGCCATAAAGAAGAACAAAAGACACTGACAACCACAAAACGTACAGCAGCAAACAACACACAGAGTTGAGAAGGACGGATGGAAGAGGCCAAGTTTGTGAGTGATTTGAAGAAAACATGAAAATAAGAAAATAAAACTAGTTTCTTCGGCTACCAAATGATGACGGTAAATGAGCAGCAGCAGGGAGGCAAACTGCTCACACATTACAGCATTTTAACACTGTGGTCACTCCCTGTGGTGGAGTGACCCAGTGCTGAGGAATGTGCTGCATGTGCACATTTCAGCCATAGTTACTCACCATCTGGATAGTGTGCGTCCATGGGGACACCGTTGTGGGCCTGCAGAGTCACAAGAGGTCAAAGGTCATATAGAGCTCACACTTTTATATAGAAAACTTATTATTATAGATTTTAGAATAAAGAACCAGTTTGTTAAAAACAAATTATTTCACTATTAGCATTATATAACGATGCTATGATGCGTTAGATCTTAACCTGAAACGTTGAAGGGAATAAAGAAACGTCTAAAAATGTAATGTTCAGTTGTCCTGTCAGTGGAGGGCGCCAGACACTCACCATCTCCCAGGCAGCGGGGTCGTGTTTAAACAGAGAGTGTGTGAGCTCCACAGACACACGCTTCTTGTAGTCTGGGTTCTTATCCTCAGAGATGCGGAAGAGCACGGCTGCAGCGTATGTAGCTGAGGGGAAAAAGATCAGGACACATTCAGCGATGTACAAATATACACCCAGCTCTTTTGTTAATGTATTATAGTGTGGGGGTACTGAAAGAATAAAAGATTAAGTCTATACACTACACTGGAATGCACTCAAAACTTTCAACCATTTTTATGTCTGTACATTACATTTGAAGCCAAAGCTTGAACCTGTTAGCTTAGCTTAGCAAAAAGACTGGAAACAGGGAGAAACAGATAGCCTGACTCTGTCCAAAGGTAACACTATTTGCCTGCCAACACCTCTAAATTATCATTAACACGTTATATCTTGTTGGTATATAACAACTGAGCTAAGCTAACCGATTGCTGGTGGTGGCTTCATATTTACCAGACAGATATGAGAGTGGTATTGATCTTCTTGTCTGACTCTTGGCAACAGTAAGATAAGTAAGTAATAGAAGAAGTCAAACTGTAATTAGGTAACTATGTGTAGTTTTTTTGTGTGATTTAATAATCTTTCAGTAACTCAAACACAAACATATTGGCTGTAAATGTAAAGCAATCTGCACAACGTGTCATGCTATGTCATTTTATGTAGTCAAACTACCCATATACAGCAGGTAGTTTAATGCTTGTATCGTTTTCTTTACATGTCAGCCACAATATGTTATTTTGAAATGCTGTCTAGTAAAAGTATTCCATCTCACAAAATGGACAAAGTCATGCTCAGTGCAAGTACCAGGAAACTGCACTTACAGTAAGTACAGCACTTGAATAAATTGACTTTGTTCTTTTCACCTATGACTGAATGCTGCATTACGGTAAGCTAATCATTATCTGCATTATCTGGGTGTCCTACCAATGCCCTCGTTGTTGGAGTGCAGCAGCTCCATCAGTGGAGCCGACGCTCCCTCGCTGTCGATGACCTCAGCTGATTGTTTGTCCAGGGCCAGCTCGCACAGGACACCTGCCGCCACACGCTTCACGTTGTCCACTGGAGAGTAGAGCAACTGGAGAGGAAGAGGAGGACAATGAATAAAAAAAACAAATAAACAAACATAAGGAAGTGAATTATCAAGACAAGGAAGTGTGACACTGTAAGTTCCTCCATTACCTGCACAAACAGAGGAATGGTCTGCAGGTTGGCAATCTCTGCTCTGTTGATGGGATCTCTGGCCAGGATGTGCAGAGCTCCTGTGCAGCCCTCCACAATCTCCTCCATCCTCACTCCATCCTGAGAACAAAGATGAAATTAAGGATAAATGTTAATCAAAAACATAGAAATACATAAATAATACACAACTACTCATTTCCACAATCCCCCTAAAGAACCACAGTGACCATAAACATCCTTTGACACTAGCCCGTCATGTACCTGGTATGTCTGCTGGGCAGATGAGCCATGTTTCTGGGCGTCCTGGTGGGCTTTGAGCAGCAGGTTGGTGAGACGGGGGATCGCTCCTGCGTCCCTGAGAGGAGCCTGGTTATCTGGGCACAGGGCCAGGTTACGGATCAGGCCAACCACAGCCTTCGGGCAGAGAGGAGAAGCAAAGATACGATCATGATGCTGTTCACTGTTATTGGTCAGCAAACAAAACAAGGCTGACGAAACGCTTCAAGACTTGGAAGTTGTGCTGTTGTGTGGTAAATGTAATAGTTTTTCCCTCTCTAAAGCCTGGTCCTGTAAAACATACTGTTCCTGCTGTCATGTGCATGTCATGCTTGATCGGGCTGACTGAGATTCTGGCTCTCTGCTCTACCTGCCATCCCCCTTTGTCCATCTGTCCAGTCCTCCCCAGTTTCCCCAGTCTTTATCTTTGGAGCAAAACCCATAAACTACTCAATGTGTTTGTTTCACAGTCCTGAACTTATGTTGCCTCAAATTACCCACGTTCAGTCTACCTGTCTAGGATCCTTTTCACGATCTTCCTGAAACCACCATATCTCAGTAGGAGCACATTTCTCCCCAATCTAGACCATCCCTCCACCCTTCCTTCCCTCCCTCCCTCCCCGCGTCCCTCCCTCTACCTTGATGACAGGCCAGTAGTGGGGTTGGTTGAGCAGCTTGACGATGGCGGGGATGCCGTAGTGTGTCCTCACAGCATTCTGCGCCAGCTCAGCCTGCTGGTGGCGCGATGTCAGGTGGCGCAGAGCGCAAACAGCAGGTTCGGTCACATCCTCTTTCTCACCGGCACGCAATATGGCGTGGATCAGAGCCTCGACACCATTGCTCTGGGTGACCAGAGTTTTATTGTGGGCGTTGTTGCATGTGAGGTTAGAGAGGATGCCCGTGGCACAAGTGAGCATGTTGATGTCATCTGAACTGAGCAGGCCCACCAGCACCTGCAGCAGGCTGTCCATACCCTCCTGGAAACAAGGAGAGAGCGATTTCAGAGTGTGCACAATTATGGGAAATAAAAATAATGTAAAAAAAAAAAGAAAGAGCAAAAGAAAGAAAAAAAGCAAATGTAAACAGTAAATGTGGACACAGACCTGCTTGGTGGCAGCATCAGACAGGTTCCTGAGCGTCCACAGGCAGTTCTGCATCAGACGCTGGCTGGAGCCTGTGAGGTGTTTACCCAGAGCCTGCATCCCACCTGCAGGGAACAGAGAGGTTATATCACTCAGCCTTCACCAACATCTCATAACTTGTGCTGCCATTAGCCACAGTTCAAGTAACAAAAAGCTGACACACCTGTATGACTGCCTTGTACACACAGGTGTGCGCTGACACAGGAAACATATTACATACCAGCTTCTACAATGGCAGGCTTGTTGCTGGGGCACACAGAGAGGACTTTGAGCACACGGCTTGTGGTCCACAGCAGCTTCTCATAGTTGTAGTTTCTCATGATGTGAACCAGACCCTCAGGACCCCCGTTGGCAAGGATGATCAGCTGTGAAACAGAGGGACCATGTGAGTACGCGTGGGTATACAAAGTGCAGATTAAGGGAAAACAACTTTTACTTTTTAATCCACCGTTTGTGAAGCAACACTTATATTTTACAAAGTGCCACTCATAAACAAAGCCATGACCGGTCCAGGCAGATTAACACCAGTTGATCACTCATTTTACTTTCCCTCAGCTCATAACCACACCTGTACGCTCTCGGTCCCAGAACCTGAATACCTCTGTTCACATGCCACACCCAAAACAAAACATGTGCACACAAGCAGGACAATTTCAACAGTGTCACATTACAATACTTGGCTCCTACGAAGTGAACCAGGCATTGTAATACATGTACTAGCACAGAACCGAACTGACAGCTACACACGCACCTTGCTCTCCTGGTTGCCATAGGACAGCAGCTGCAGACAGTCTGTGGTGATGGCCAGGAACTTGGGGTTGCTTTTCTTCAGCAGGGGAACCATCCTCTGCAGGCCGTCGGCCAGACGCACGGCCATCTTAGCTCCCTCCTGGTGCAGCAGCAGGTTGTGGAGCGTGGTGATGGCATAGAAGAGCACAGACTCCATGGGAGAACTGAGGGAGAAAAAAAGAAAAGACAATGGCACGTCAAGTTGCCATACATTAAAGGAAAGTTCCACCATTGGATATTCTCACTGTTGGATACCATTAAATAATTTTAGGTTGGACCAAATTTAAATTTGCCTGCCTCATTTACTACTTGAGTCTACAATTTCCTACATTTCCCAGAATGCCAGTCAGCACTCTCCCAAAAACTAAACTGATGGTTCGAGGAACAGTAATGTGTTCCTGTAGAGAAAAGGTGGGATTCACACTGCCGTGTGGCTGCCTTGCAGTATCGCCTTCATCTTGATTTCTTCATCTCCTATATCCATTAAATGTCAGTACAAGGTGAGTCAGAGGCTCTCGTTTTCTTCTTCAGCTGAATTGCATGGTAGCGGCACTGGAAAATACCTCAACATGACTTCACAGTGTCTGTGTTTCGCATTTCAACAAACGATTAGATGAACAACCCAGGTAACAACAAAACGGGCTTGGAAATGAAGCTGACATTGTCAAAAGGTCTTTTCTAAAACTACTTCTGTGTGGAGATTTCATTTCATACCCAGACTATAATAAAGAGTACGTTTTTCCAACATTCATATAAACAACTAAGACAAGGATCAAACTGTGATAGGTGGCATAATTTACAAACATCATGAATGTACAATCAGTTTTTGTCCAGCAGTACCTGAGCATGCGGACTAGAGCAGGGATGCCTCCGGACTTGAAGATGGAGAGCAGGCCCTCTCTCTGGTGGGACAGGTTGTGGAGGATGCTGGCTGTGGCGCGTGCGGTCTCCATGTCACTTGTGTTCTGCATGGCCCGCACCACGGCTGCCACCATCTGAGGGGACTGCATCAGTGCGCGGCGTGATGCCTCTTTGCGTGTCAGCTGGTTGACAATCTGTGCTGCCTTGCTGACCACCACCTGATGAGAAAGAGAAGAGGAGTTCATTTTTACTTGTGGTAATAAGAGTGAAACCCCTTTTTGAAATGGTACTTGTGTTATAGAGGGTGAGAATATATATTTTCATTCTAAATCAATCTAATTAATTTTTCTGATCTCAAGGTGACAGATTCAAAATACTTTGAAATTTGTCCAGCTGTTAAAAAATAAAACTTGTATTACACATTCAATTTACAAGGACATAAAGCAAATAAAAGTAGCAGATTTATAAAGTAAACAATTAATGGATTATCGTCTATTATCTGTTATCTGTTGTTGATTAAAGGAATAGTTCCACATTTTGTGAATCTGTTTTCTTGCAGAGAGTTAGAAGAGAAGATCGATATAGCTCTCATGTCTGTATGCTAAATATAAAGCTACTGCCAGCAGCTGGTTAGCTTAGTTTAGCACAAAGTCAGGTGCAGTCACTTCTTAAAATATTGTCGTGACTGTGCCTGGCCAAGAAACATTCCTGCACACAACCCCTGCAAAACCACAATGTGTCGTTTTACACTTCAGTTTTAATTAATGAGCTTCAGAGCTGTTTTTCTTTCTTCGTGCTAAGCTAAGCTAACTGACTGCGGGCAGTAGAGTCACATTTAACATGCAAACATGAAAGTGATATTGCATAATTAGCATATTTCCCAGAATTCGGACTACTGCAGCACTATATTGATCTATACATACTGTATATGCAAGACTTTATCTCACAAGGTTCTCATTGAGACATCACAGTACTCACAGTACAGTCAAGTTAGGGTTATTCTGCAAATTTTTAAACTCTGTATCTCCGTTCATCACCTGGTCTTCATCGTTGAGCAGCTTGGTGAGCTCGGGCACGGCACGTGTGGCCAGCTCGGCGTCGTCCTGGTAGTTGATCAGATGGATGATGGCGGTCTTCAGCATCTGGGAGGGCTCGGCCAGCCGCTGGACGTTGGTCATCTGGGTCGAGTCTGTCTGAGTAGACAAGATGGTTGTGCCTTCTTCCAGCGTCTCTGGGAATATCGCAGCCCGCACCCGCTGGGCTCTGGTCATAGTGTACTGGGCATCCAAGTCTAGAAGAAGTAGTGAGATGATGATGATGATGATAAAACAGACCAAATGTAATAATGGCAGAAGCTTTCATATATTTGCATATTGAACCCTGTTTGTCCTCTTACCAGGCTGTTCCGTTGTGACGGTGGTGGTCATGGTGTAGTGCTTGGAGGTGGTGAAATCACCGTCGTCATCTCTGACTGTGGTGGCTCCAGACTGAATGCCCGAGTCTACACCATACATTGTCCGCTGCCACTCTGTCACCTTCACCGTGCCACTGTCAAGCTCACCCACTGTTGAGCAAGGAAGAGAGGAATTGTTGGAGGTCAGAAGCGTAAGACCAACATCATTTATTAACGGGGGTATTGAGGGGTTATAACTTGTTCTAATTTTATTATTCCAATATTCACCGATAACAGTTTTTTTAATGTGTTTTGCCTCCATTTTTCTCCCACAGGAAGAGTGTTTTACTTCTAGGCCACATAAAGGAGCACATTCGAAACAACCTTCAGTTATCGTTTAGGGAAGTCCTCAATAAAAATACATCAAAACAATAGTTGGAAGTTGGAAAGGTCATAATGAAAATGTTCAGTACTCTTTCAAAAGAACTGTAGAAGGAGGTGATATAGACAAAAGTTAAGCAAGATATAGCACAAAGAAAATCAACATAAAATCACTATATTATCAAAATAAAATTTGCAGAGAAAGAGGATGAAAGCTGAAAGACTTACTTTGCATTGCCATCCTTGCCTCCTGTTATCAAAACAACAACGATGGAGCAAACCTAAAAACAAACAAACAAAAAAAAAGGCAAAGTCAGGATTTTCAGCATTTCACCTGCTGTAAATGACAAATGACACATATTTCATGAATAATAAATATTTCAACAAGGTCTCTGCTCTCTCACACAGTACTGTCATTCAGTTTTTATATGCCAGCCACGTATGACAGCTCACGTGATAACCCCCCCCCCCACCCCCACCCCTTCCTCCCCCACCGACCAGCCGTGCACCCTGACCTTAAAATGACAACACAGAGCGGCAGCAGCGGCGGCGGCGGCTCACAGAGGAGGGGGGGCGAAGTGAGTGGAGAGACAGCTGTAAGTGAGGAATGCTAGCCTGCCCAAATGACCTTTCACCCCGGGCCTCCACCCATATAGCCGTGGGAGCAGCCTGCTGCTGACGCATGGCAATCAGGAACTTGTTCGTCAGGTTTTGACTCCAGTGTCTGACAGTGAACATACTCCTCTTCCCTACACACAAACTTAAACCTCTAAAACAAACAAACAAAAAGCCTGGAACTTGACTTAAACTTTGTTTGTATTATTTTGTACTACTACATACTATCTATAACACCTACTTGCCTTCTGGCTCTCCTTAAAAGGTTTTTAGTGATCCGACATCCTGAGGCATGTTTTTTTTGTAGAAATGCCCCAGATTGCATAATCGCCACAATACATGTTGGTGCAAGTTTGTTCTACATCATCTTATTTTCCTAATAAAAATCATTCTTCATGTTACATTTACTCAGTTATGCAACCATCACAAAAACAACTAGCTGTATCTGTCAAGAAAATAATAAACCAACTTTTTATAAACCAACTGTGCTTCAATTGTAATGCACTTCACCATTAAATGCATGCAGCTCTGTGTAAAAATGTCAGAACTGGTATGAACATGTGAATTCCAGACTTTTTGAAATACCGTACAGAGGATTAAACAAAAGCATGTCACTTCCTGTCAGAACAAAGTGTTAATGAGTCAAATATTAAATCTAATAACTATGAAATGTCTCTATCACGTATCCTTTGTGCATCCGGATCCTTCTTTTACTGAAAACTTCATTTTTCTTAAGACAAAGACCAAACATGAAAAACAGATCCTTAGATGAGACCACACAGACCCAACATAACCTTTCAATGTCAGAACATGCATGTTTATCATTTTCTGTCTTCTGCGTCATCCACCACAGAAGTCCTCTTCATCACAAACACGTCTGCATTTATAATAGCTGCATGCCACTGCGTGTGACAAACAGTACAATGCATTTACTGTGCTTGTTACGAGTGTTTGCAGATGTTTGATGGGATTCTTTGCTGGGGTGCGTTGTGTGTGTGTGTGTGTTTGTGTGTGTGTGTGTGTGTGCGTGTGCGTGTGCGTACATGTATAAGAGTGTGTTTTCATGATTTCTGCAGGCACTGCAGATGCACTGGAAGTACCGCGGGGCTCTACACGCAGCAGAGTCAATAAACAAAGGCTTCAACTGGCAAATAAAGGAAAAATATTTCCATCCTTGAAGCTCTTTTGTGTGACAGATGGTTATAGCTTACAGTGGGATTCTACACAACAAGCTATGCTGATCTTCTGTCTTCACTACTAATAAAACAAGTTGGGGCTTCAATCCAGGATGTCAAGCTGCTGTGTTGGCACAATATGAGCTATAAACAATTAAATAACCACTTTTTACCTGTGCTTACATTAAACTTCTCAGAACAAATTCATAGTCACGCAACTTAAACAATGTGATGTAACGCTATAATCAGAGTTGATCTATGGGTTTGGAGGAAAGGAATTTGTGCAAAGATGAACTGCTTTGTCTCTCTGCCTTACACTGAGGCTGTTCATGATGTATTAGTAAAAGCACCACTCCCTCATCTTTTTACCCTCTGGCTTTGCATAAGGATGTGTCGTGTTGTGTTTCAGTCCCTCAGCTGGCCCAGCCCACTTCTTCTCCCCCAGGCATCATACTGTGTGGATGTGTGTGTGCATGTCAGCGTAGCTCCTGCAGGGGCCTGTTTTTCATTATAATTTGTATGAAGAAGAAACTGACAATAGTGTGTCTGCGCACCGCATGTTCCTCATTAGTCGGTGTCTATCCTCTGTTTTCTCTCTGTAGCACTTTGATGGACTACAAACTTACTTGAAAGTCCCCACGTTTCTTTTTTTTGTGTGTGGACCTGTATCTGTTATGTGCTGTAGATATGCAAATGTTCAAAATACGTTTACCGGAACCTGACGTTCTTGTAAAGGTCCCAACATGTCCCTTTATCTCTCTTGCCTTCACAGGGAGCAGCAGCTCAGTGAGTTTCAGCTGTAGTCAGTCTGGCAAGAGATCCTGCAGGACGAGGCCACAGAGGACTGTCTGTGCATGCAGCTACATGCTACCTTACAGATAATGCACTGACTCATCAGGCCACAGATGGAAACTATGCAACCATGCAGCGTAGGTTTGTACCTTTCTAACTAAAGGTGTGGCCTCTTTTTAAACACAAACATGAGGGCTCGCCTGTCAAGAATACGCTAAGCGGCTAGTAGCCATCCATCTTTCGATTTGTGCAGCCATGGGAATAGATTGACAGTAGTGAAATGTCAGACTCACCCCAGCTTTAAAGTCTGTTTTCCAAAGGCCTTTAAGAATTCTAAAAACATTTTATTGATCCACAGATAAAAACACACTGATATAAAACAGAGCCCACACTGCCTTTTGTTTTAAGCAGAACCATAGCACACACAGTGTCCACACAGAACTTTCCCGTGCTCTGTAAATCAGGGACAGGGTGTTTGTGTAGTCTTTGTTTTCCTGGGCGAGGCAGCGGGTTCAGCCAACTGTTGCAATGCTGCGACACGCCCCACATATCGCCTAGGTAACCGAAACTCCGCTCAGGCACTGTACTGTGGGGGTTTTATCTGCTGACCCATCTGATGTCTGAAGCTATGCTCACTTATTTGCTGGTAAGTGCTGATCCCTCTTGGGTTCTCTCATAATTTCCTTTTCCCCCCTCACCCACAATGCTCGTCACTAGTGTGATCCCAGCAAAGAAAGAAAAATCATCAAAAGTTTTAATGATTTAAAAATCTAATTAAAAAGATTTAAAATACTTAAAAATTAAGCTTAACAAAAAATGAATAAATAAATAAATAAATAAATACATATAAAACTTTATTGTGTATTATGGTGATAATATGGCTAATCTCCCTGTCTGCCGTACTGAAGAAAAGTTGTTGCTTGTGTGGTGTATTTCTGCCTGGACTTTGCTCCCTTCCAGTTAATGAGTGACACATCCTTTCACTGTCACTGTACCTTGCTCTGTCACTACCACCACCCTCCACCCATCCATGCAAATGTGCAGTAACAGTAATAGAAGCCACACTTTTTACTCAGGAAAACACTCCTCACTCTCGCACCCATCAATTCCCGCTATCTTGTTAAGCAACAGCCTCTGTGGATGACTTTAGTGTGCTTCTTCCAAAAAAAAAAAAAAAAAAAAAAAAAAAACCCTGCTCAGTAAAACCAGGAATGCGTATCAGTGAGAGCTGCCAGCGAGCGAGTTGCAACAGAAAGGCGGAGATGGATACTGTTCAGCGCCTGATGCTGAAACGCCAGTGTGACATTCCACGCTAACATAGCATATTCAACCTGTCCTGTGTCCAACTGTAAATCTTGTGCTGCAAAAAAAAAAAGCACCCAATTATACAATTTTACTATTCTCACACTAAATTCTTCTAAAATAACATCAGTGACTCACTCATAAATTGCTGAAACTAACAGATACTAAGAGCACATAGCTACTGTGACAATGGATGAGTAACTCTGTTCTCAGACGTGAGAAAGGATTGACTATCCTGCCCCCCCCACAGGCATGTCAGACAGGGAGTGTCTCCACAGCAGTGACAAGCTCTCAACAAGGGCGTGGCAGCAGAGTTTGTGGGTGTATGAGCAAACTGGGCGAGGCTGAATACACCTAAAGGCTGGAGGGGCTAAACAGTAGATCTGTCATTTAATTCTCTTCAATATATCCTCCCAATAATTAATAAGTTATGTAGTTACAAACTTAAGCATCGCCATAAAAGAAATATTCCAGTATGCCAGATTTTGACTTTGCAGGCCTAAGCTCTTCTTTGTATCACAGCAGGAATGAATCAGGTCAGAGAAGAGGCCCAGGGGGTTGGAGATGAACTCTGGTCGTTTTCCAGAGTGGCTCCTAACACACATTGCAGTGTTTGCAGTGATTTGTTATTTAGCCTCATGCCTGTTTGGCAGGAGGGGTGTTAAATAACATGTTGCAGAGTATTTGTAGTTTGTTTAAACTCCTGCTTGAGAAGATTAAGCTCGCAATTTTAAAGACATAATCAGGCATTTTCACCTTCTTGCCAAGAGCTGGATGAGAAAATTGATGCCTCTCTCATGTGTGTATGGTAACTATTAAGGTACAGCCAGCAACCCTAACCCCAGCCAACCAGTTAGCTTAGCTTTGCAGAAAGACTAGAAACAAGAACAAACAGTTAGCCTGGCTCTGTCCAAAGAAAGCACAGTACACCTGTTAGCACATGTTAAAGCTAATTAATGAAGACATTATATTGTTTCTTTAACCTTTACAAAAACTGAAGCAAAAATGTCAGGAGATAGTCATCACTTAACCCCTTATAAGATTACAGCATGTCATTTTCATGTGGCGCTAAACAGGCTTTATGCTTAACGGTCTCCTGGTTGTAGCGTCATATCTGTAGTCACCGACATGCGAGTGGTAACAATCTCTCTAATCAAACCCTCGGAAAGAAAGCGAATGAGCATCTTTCCCATAATGTCGAGCTTTAACTCACTTCTCAAAGGAAAAAAAAAAAACAACAGATTTTTCCAGCACTAGTGTATGATTTATGTTAATTGTGCGTTCTCATGGTTATCAGAACATCGGGGATTTGTTGTAGGAACTTAACCTCATCTGGTGGCCTGTTATTTCTAACAGGCTTGCTAATGTCATGTTTAGGCTGACACGCAAATAAAGCA